ATTTTAATCTCTTCTTTATTGTTAGCTTTTAAGAAATTTGCTTCTTATTTGCATTTTGTTCTCTTTCTGTCAGTAGATGATATTAAGGATTTGGTTTTTATTATTTAACCATACTCTCCAATTTCTTTCTGTTGCTTCTCATGTAGGCACATGTTTCTTTTTCATTCTTGCAGCAGATATTAAGATGTGTAGTGCTTCAAGTGAACTAATATTTTGTGGATTTTTGTTTGCTATTGATTTCTTTTTAAATTATAATCCTGCTTAGTGTTAAGATTTATGCGCTGTTTATATCTGGTAATTAATAATAAAAAAAACTATGTATTTTCATCATTTTGTGTACATTTTAACCATACAATTATTTTTGTATGCGAATAAATTTGTATTTATTGACTTTTCTTTACACCCAATTATCCCTAAAGTATATATGCTATGCTGAATGCATTATTTCAGATTCAAAATGTATACACAGAGAGATGCATATCACACTATGATGATAACAAAAGTGGTAATTTAATAACATTGACATCAAATATCACCTAAGACAACCACTTCCATAGAAAATTTTTTGTAGCAGCTGTGTCTGACTGTCTTACAGAAGTGTTTTGTGATTTAGAATTAACTCGCTGTAATACTGATGCAATTTAAGGTTACTAATATGTGCATTCAGCTGTTTTTCTTTATTAGTTCAAACAACCCATGTTATTGATCAAAAAGCAATACCTTATCGTTAGTCATATTATAAAAATTAAAAAATGGCTTTTGGAAATTTTCCTCCTTATGCAATGATTTCCAGTTTGGTAAAAAAGCTTTCATAAGTTGATCTTACTATGGGCACGTATTGAATTTTATTTAGTGTTAAAAATCATTTCTATGGTATATGTACATATTTTTACAGTTTTTAAAATACTTCAGAAATTCATTATCTCATGCCACAAGGCATGCATAAAATAAGCTTATTTCCTTGTACTATTATTAAGCTGTCCAGAAGAAGCCTTTTTTTGACAATGGATCACTGAAAGTTATGCTGTATCTTTATGTTAATTAGAAAATAATTTTGGATAATAAAATAAATGTATTAGAAAAATATTATATTAAAATGATATTTTTAAAACACATAATTAAATTAATGTATTCTAATACCTAATACATTAATTTAATTATGTGTAATTAATCTGTAATTTAAAGCAAACCTTCGTTCTTCAACTACATATTCATTTCCGATACCCAAAGGCTAATTCCATCATAATAACTTGTATTTTAACTCGTCATTATTCAGCAAAACTTTTTGATTAAAAAATTCTGTATTCGTCCTTTGTGATAAAAGCCCAAGATACGAACCTCCACCATCTGCAAAATGCATGGCTCTCTTTGTACAGGATCTCTGTGGCTGTTACTGGAAGCCTAGAGTATGTTCAAGCAAGCAGTAGTAAATAGGCTTCCTTATTCTCTGTTTATTTAGTGTGTGATATATTTGTTTGTGTGTGTGTTTATTTGATAGTGTGTCTGTATAAATACTTTTGTCTGCCATTGGAAATAAAAATATATGCATTACAAATCCGAGTTATTAAGTATATTAAGGCTGTTTACATTTTTCATTCCAAAACATATATTCAATTAAAATACATTATGCAATTTGTGTTCATCTACATTTGTTAATGTTTAATTAATGCCAACAGAAACATGTTCGCATAAATTCCTCTAAGTAATTTAAACATGAGGTTGTTTAAGAAGGCCATTTTTTATCCATTCATTTATTGAAATATTTGCATTACTTCTTATATATTAAAATTTACATATATTATGTACTTTTTTCAGTAGACAATCCAAGAATATTCTATATGTTAAAATGTATGGTATATGCAATAATTCCCCCCCCAAAAAAAAAAAAAAAAAAAAAAAAAAAAAACTTATCCTCTATTTGTGATCTTATTATCTGATTGTGTCTTCTTCAAAATACACAAATAATCTGATGGAATGAAAATATTTTGGTCATTAAAACTTTTTAATCACTGCTCTTTACATCTACATTTCTTTTTTCACATAATCTGAAGTTTTCGAGTAGTCTGAAGGTTTTCAAACTGTGTTTCACAGAAATTTTAGATACCATGCAACTCCTCTAGGGCATCTGTAAGTCAAAATTTAAAACAATTTTTAATATCACTGGACATCAAAATGAAATACTTGAAATAATCTTTGAAATTCTCTTATTATTGTTAAAAAATATTAAGCAGATTTTTGTTTATGATTAAATTTATAATGAAATAATGAATTTCTTTTTACTTTCTGCATAAAATGCACAAATTTTATATTTCAATTCTTTAACATTTATTTTTCTGAGGATAGAAATTCTTCTATAGAAAAAATTACGATTTTAGAAGTTTTTCTGAATTTAAAGATTTGAAGACAACCCTGTTATAAGGGTTTACGATTATAATGTGAATGACCCAAATAATTGTAAATGGCCTATGGCCATACTTAATACACATATTATTTAAATTGACATGCTTTACCTGTAATGTACATTTGTGACTTATGTTATAATTTAAGTGCACCAGTTTACTCACACTTATCTGTATTGTATGTATGTATTATACGCATCTCTAGACTCAGGTTAAAGCTAGCTCGTTTTCCCTTTCCCAGATGACATTTTTGGGTCTTTACTGGAACTCGACGCACACTTTATTTCGGCTAGAATAACCACTTATCTCACTCTTCTTTTATTCAAAAATTATAACATACTAATTTGGGGAAAAAATTATATTTTATGTTAGTTACTCATGACAACATTCGAAACAACCTACATGTTCGACAAGGGGTAGGGGTCTAGGAAAGCCACAACTTTTTCAATGAACTGGATGAATAAATGCAGCCCTGCCTTTTGTTGTGTTTTATGCATTTATAAATTTCTACCTGACTGTTTATTCTTTAATTCTATATAACACAATTAATCGATGCTTGTTTCTTGTATGGAATTTTAACATTAATTCTACATAATAACATGAGTAATCTTTTTTTTTTTTAAATTGTATTTTAGCATTATTAAAAAACACTTTGGCACTATGAACTGAGAATATCTGTCAATCTGTCTTCTACGTTAATTTACAATAATATAAATGTGAATATCTGAATGGAGTTATATTGAAAGATCTACTGGATGCTATGATTCCATGATGGTCAATCCACCACATTGGAAATATTAAATCAAACAATAAGTACAGGAAAAGATTCAGCAAGACAATATATCCTCTTTTGAATGAATACATTTAACTGTAGTTATTCCATATGATGTATTATACAACACCCCAAAATCATGGAAAATAACTTTCTAAACCGAGTTTACAGTGTAAAAAAAGTAGTGGAAAAATGTTGTAGTCATGTAACTGGGCTATCTAACATAAAAATTACAGCATATATTACACCAGTGTTCTTACCTTTACTGCATATTACAACCAAATAACTACAATTAGATATGAGAAAGAACAGGCAGTGTCAGTACAACCAAGAGTAAAACTTTTACAGAGTTGCTAATTTGAAAACAAGTGAACCTGTAAAACTAACCCTGCATACTGGTTTGCTTTAGATGCATTTGGTAACCAATATGCCGTAAGTCTTTACCAGATTCAGTTTTGAGTGCATTAAATACTATATTGCTCATATGTCTTGATCGTGACAATCAATGCAGCTGCAGCATTATTGAATAGAAATAAGTTATATGACTCTCAAATAAGTGTTTGTAAAGTTGTTCAGGAAATAAATATTACTAAATAATAACATGTATTATGTTTATTGAATTGTACAAAACTTATATGTTATACTTTGAATTATCGTCAATTTTAATTGTCTGAAATCTGGTATTTGATAGTATATAGTTGTAGCAGTTTTTTCACTATAAATTCTGAAGAATCCGAAAATAAATGCACATACTAAAGTATTTCAAGTATGATAATATTCAGTATTTAAGATTATCCTAAAAGTATGAAATTTATTATTTTATTTGAAAATAAGTATTAGTGTATCCATGGCATGCAGGTCCCCGAGATTACTCTATTATCCACTCATAGGTGGGGGTGTCACCTTTGCCAAAGGCTCTTTGTAGCCTGCTTTAGGTTTTATACTAATTTTAATTACTGGCCATCTACTGAAATGGTTTCTTTATGTATATCCACCTTTATTCCAACTCTGGTATTTCTACGGCGATGGAGGTTTAGTTGACCATACTTCTTGACAATTCTTTTACTTTTTTTAGTTTAGTTTAATTTTTTTTTCAATTTGAAGCGGTAGACCAGTATTTTCATCTCGCATAACTGTTTTTGAAGCAGACTCGAAAATCTCCTTCAAAGAGTTGGCTACATTGTGTAAATTTTCGCTATCTAAATTCCAAAGGAGTGACCGAATTGATCTGTAATTTGCATCGCACTCATTGATCAAATTTCTTTTTTTACTCAACGTTGCTTCTTCAGATATGGTGGGTAAATTATCTGATGTTCCACCTGAAGGAGTTTCAGTTGATGAATATTTTCGTTTTCTGGTGCCTGAAATACTTCTTGAGACTAAATCTTCATCAACTTTGAAAATAGGTGTTGAAAATAGCCATTCTGCAGTACATTCCAAACTCCAGGCTGGAAACTTCATGCCAGCAAACACAATATGCTTGCACAGCAGTCGGTTTCTTCTGAAATCTAAGCATGTGCATTGACACAGTTGTTTCTGTTCATCAAACGTGACAGAATAAACTGCATCATGCTTAGTTTCAGAAGAAAAACTTTAAAGAAGCCATGTGAAATTTTTTTTTATATCTACCCACATAAACTTCAGCAGCTCTTTAATTTTGTTTTTATGTGATCAATTAACCATTTTGGCTTAATTGCATTTAACCATCCCAATTTGGTACATGCTTTGCCTTTGTGTTATTAACTATTTGGTTCACTTTTGAACGAGAAGTTCATTATTAGAACATAAGACTTTTTTTTCACTTTTAGAAGTAAAGTCATTTCATATCTTTATACACTTAAGTACAGTAACAGTATTTTTATAATAATATTATTTCTTATTTTTTCTGGTCGTCTGCGCGTTTTATCAGTTTCTCCCAATTCAGTTGAAACGTATACTTCTAATAGCTCTGCAATTACAGTGGCATTGCATTTTCCATTCTTAACTTTAGAAGCTATGAAATGCCGCACTCTAGCATCTATAGGTTCTATTACTGCAGCCATGTTACCCATTAGATGATTTTGATGATCTTGGCTATTAGGTAAATTAAACATGAAAACTTCTTCACCAGCAATACTATCTTTATTGGCTAGTTTTTCCTTAATTTTCCGAGATATCATAATCTTTCTTTTTCGGGTTGGCACTACCTGTAATTTAAACATATTTATCACAGTAAAATTTAGAAATTCCAGCACAGTCATCTAAAACTAATTATTGATAAAGGTTCAATTTTAAAAACTTTCTGTTCATAGCAAATTATTCAAAAAAAAAAAAAAAAAAAAAAAAAAAAGAGAGAGTCATTTCTTTCCTTTAAAAAAAGCTGTAAAAAGGATCTTCCATTTTTATAACAATAGATCAAATTACTTCTTCAAAGAAACATAACCAATAAAACTTCACTTTGAACAACTTATTTCTATTTGTAGCAAATTGGTTAGAATATAATTAGCATAAAAAGCCTTTATTTCTGGCCTGAAAACATCATTTTATTTGCATGTCAATTACTGAATTATTTATTTAGGAAAATATTACTGTTAAAAACCCTCTTTTGGCAAAAAAAAAAAAAAAAAAAAAAAAAACTATTTAGAAAAATATGTTGAATAAAGAGACACAAAAAATCATTTCTCTTTTTTACATTGTGACTCTAAAAATACCTTTTGTTTTTATGTCAAAAAGTATGTATACTTTATCATAGAATACCTTCAATACATCTTGCTCATACGTGACAGAATTATATTTTTTCCTTAAAAAAAAATTCTCTAAAATTACTAAGACCATCTTAGAACAAAAAGTTAAATAAACTTCTACCTTGAACTGAGGCATCCTGTACATTCGGGTAACATTAATTACAGCTGGACAATTAACTTTTTTAGTTGTCTGGTTCTTGGAATATGCTTTACCAAAAGCATGATCAGTTTGACACTAAAAGAAAAAAAAAAAAAAAAAAAACACACACACACACATATATATATATATATATATAATCCAAGAGGTGATATTTTTGTATAAATTTTTAAATATAACAATGTTATTTTACCTTTTCATTTTTTTCTTTAGCATAATTTTCCTTTTGACGTTTATTCAGATCTTTTCCTTGATGGCAAACATAGGTTTTTCGCCCAAAGTGGAAATAGGGAATATCATCTAACCAGTTTAATCGTAAATCTGGAGTTAGTTCAACTGGAAAGAAAATTTTGATTTAGATCACAATCTGATAAGCTTTGATTTTTAAAAGAAAGAAATTACAGATCTCTATAAACATATTATACATTTAACATTATACTTTGATTTTTAAAAGAAAGAAATTACAGATCTCTATAAACATATTATACATTTAACTGTCTCTATATATACTACATACTGTAGACACTGCTTAATGTATTGCAGCTGATGTCGTGTATATTGCTATTGAATTTCTAAGTTCTGCTCTTTCATATATGGAAACATAAAAAATGCATCATTTGCTGTAATTTTATTTGCTCAATTTGGTTAATATAATCAAAATATTATACAATAAATTTCTTAAACTGAAGAACGAAAATGATTTTAATCAAGCATTTAGAAAAAAGCGCGCAAAACAATAAAATTAAAAAAAAAAAAACTTAATTTCATACGAATTTTCAATAGCTATTGATTTGGAAGGGCTTCAGCACAGTTCCCTCTTCTTCAAAAGGGAGGTAAAAATTCCTGAAAACATCTTTGCCAAAATACACTTGCGTTTTTGCCCAATTTCAGATTTTACATTGGCAAAATCTCTTTAAACAAGGATGCCCTCCAAGTATTAAGATTATAGGTATAGAATTGGTCCAATAAATTTCAGAAACATTATGGACTACTCAAATGAACTTTTGCAATGAAGACTGTAAACAATTGATAAACAAACTTTTATTTTTCCTAATTAAAATGTTAAGAAAGTGGCTAGTTATATTTATAGTTAATTCAATTCCTATTTTAAAAGATACTTTTCTCATCATCTTATATTATCAAAAATGGGCAAATGTAATCACATTAAGCAGCACCTACTGCAAACATAGAGAGATATTAAAAGCATTAAACTATTATGTAAAAAAATTATGTCATTTTGTCTCATATTAAAATTATATATGCTAGGTAAAGTATAGAATGAGCTAGCTGCCTTACGCAAAAGGGATGCCTTTGAGAAGGTCTAATGGGAAACTGTCTTGTATTCACTTATATATATATAAGGAGAACAGGAAAATTCCCATGCAGCTAATCCATTCAACAGTATTTGTACCTTGATCAAACATCCAGTATTCAGCTATCTTATCTGCTAGTCCATTGGTGCTAAGAGTCAAAATAGACAACTTTTTTTTTACACACAAGATAAGTGATTTTACACACAAGATAAGTAGCATTCATTGACTAAAGAAATATATATATCACATCACTAAAGAAATATATATACATTTCAGAAAACTTTCCTGTTTTCTAAAATTCAATATCTTTATTATTATAACTTCCTGATATTTCAATGCATTATAATTTTATGGTGAACTATTACCTGAAAATAAAACAGAATATTTTTTGAATTGGTAGTGTTTATTATAAGGTTATTTTGAAACATGTTGTTAATGATAAAACTAAAGAATGGATTTTCTTTATAGACTATTAAATGATTATATTTCAAATCAACAGACTGCATTCATACACTAAAATAGGATGAAAAATATAGTAGTCATCGAGACAATTGTCGAGTTTCTCAAGAAACAACAATAAAAATTTTCAAATCTAACACGGTATATCTTGTTTAATGTTTAATATAGTACGGAATGTTTCGTGAAGCATCAGCTATTTAAAAAAAAAAAAAAAAAAAAACATGCAATACCTGACAATGAAACCAAATAAAAATCAAACATAACGCTATTACACGTTATGCAACAAAATTAATGAATATGAACGTCTATAAACCCTTTTTTCAACTTGGACCGAATCTCGCAACATCAACTAGATCTTACGCAATAAAATTAATACAAATTAGTGCTGATAAGTTCTTTGGAACAAAATGGCCAAATATCAACTAAACAACCAAAGAAAGCATTTACATTCTAGAGGATTTTTATTTACTCATTACATCTTCAAAAATTACTTACTCTCTTTATCGAATGACTTTCCATAGTAGTAAACATATTTTGTTACAGTTTCTACTTCGTGTCTGCGAAGTATTTCTTTAAATTCGCTCCAAGATTTCGCAAAATTCATTTTGCCTCTAAACACAAAGGTTCATACACGAGACGGACTTTGAAACTCGTAATCGATAAACCGGCCATTCCCCTATCGTTGACACAAGTCTTTCTATCGATGGGGAAAGGAGACTCTTGGCCATCCGAAAAAGCGGCGACCCTGAGACGCTACCTGAATTCTGGCTTTTTGTGCAGAAAATGATGATACTGTTCAACGTGCTTTCGTCACTGTCGATACGAAAGATACGGAAAGATTTCATTATTTTAGGTAAAATAACTTTATTTTCTTCGTGATATCCATGTAGTACTATCAAATAAGTAAGCAAAAAGAAAATTTTTACCGGCTTTAATCTGCGATGAATCGCGATAAGTGTGATCCCTGATATCAAGTTTGTAATTCGGTGATTTTCCACATGAGAGGGTTAGATAACAGGTCCTGTGTAATGGCACGGATTTCAAACGCGTTATTCTATCATAGGTAATATATTATTTATTATTTGGCCAATCTAGAAAGTTTAATGACAGTTGTTTTCGGTGGTTATTAAAGCGATAATATTACGATTTATCATATATATAAGAATAAAATGTGAAGTTGTTATAAATGATTTATCGAAAATTTTAATTAATGTGTGTGCGGTGGAACGCGATGTTATAAGCAGTTAAAATGCTTTAATGACTTTCTGCATTACTGAAGTTTAAAATTTGTATTAGGCTCAAAATTTTTGTTTTGGCCAATTTAGAAACCTTGATGATAATTTTTTCCAGTAGTTATCAAAGCGATATTTATGACAATGTATCATATATAACATTATTACAATGTAACAAAGATTATATTACAATGTATCTTATACAATAGAATAAAATGTGAAGTTGTTACAGGTGATTTATTGAAAATTTTATGTAATGTTTGCTTAGCAAAATACTTTGTTATAAGCAGTTAGAATGCTTTGATGACTATCTATCTGCATTACTAAAGCTTAAAATTTTTTTAGACTCAAAATTTTTAGTAATTAATTTACCTCCAAAATAAATAACATGCTGGAGGTATTTGCAGCATAAAATTTTAACTTTTTTATTGCTGTATGTAGTTTATTTTTAAATTATTTTTAATGATCTAAATATTATCATAATGAGTGGAGTGCTATGAAAACAGTGAATAAAATAAATAAATTGCATAAATCTAGCTAGCAGATGCTTTTTAAATGCATCTCCTGACAAGTTTGAATTAAAACCTGCGCTACTGAGAAGGTCAAAGAATTCTTTAGCTGTGAGTATGTGACATACATTTGATGTATTATTTTTATTGTTTGTGGCTTTTTAATACATGTCATGCATTTCTAATTTATAAAATGTACTAAAAAAGTAATAAAAAACCTTATCTTTTAATTGATGTCTTATTTCTCATGCAAGTAAAAAAAAAGTTTTTTCAGAAGCAGAAATAGTTGATAAGTTTGCTGCCATTTAAAAAAAAAAAAATTTGGGGAGGTGGGAGGATGTAAACTTAAATAATTTTCTTAATAATCTTGACTGTCATTTTATGTTGCATTATTCTGTTGTATAATTATGCCATTGAATGAAATCTTAAATTGAAAAACTGAGTTGAGAGTATTAAGTGTTCAAACTGATAATTGTTTTAGGTTTAAAATGTGGAGATTTTTAAAGAACCGCAAGGAATTTGCAAGCTATGTATATAAAGCAAAATCAAGACATTCACAAGAAAGGCAGAAATCTTCTGGAAAGGTCTGTAAAGAGTGTTAAATGTATTTTTATTATACTTGTGTTTTATTTAGTTTGAAAATTCCCCTTTACTAGAGTAAATTTGTATGTATTGTTTGTCTTTTTTCTTTTTAAGATATTAATGTTGAATTTCATCTTAGGTTTAGTTATATTTTTTTTAAAGTATTAGTTGTGATACCTTTTTTAATTGCAAAATCTAATAATTTGAGTTGGTTTCTTTAAAATGCATATAAAGTAATGTGGAAAGTTCATTCAGCAGTGTTTAATTTCTACAAAATTTAATTAAAGATGCAGAATTTCTTGAATTTATAAAATATAAGTTTCAGATCATATTCAGTTAAAAAAAAGTACAAATTCTGCTCAAGAAAGGGCTTAACTGATTATAAATAAAAAAAAAAAAGCTCTCGATTTCATTAAAAATAAATTTTAATGTGTACGTTTTTAGGTAAAAATATATTTACGGGTGCTCCTTGGCGATTTTTGACAGTATATGGACACAGAGTTAGTGCAATTCTTCGACTTGTTAAAAAATCGCAGCTACGCAAATCCAAAATAACAAGTAAAAAAATTGCACAAACTCGGTATCCATGTACACATCAACCTATTTTCACTTAACATGAGAGAATTGCACACTCCCTTTGTCCATGTACTCATTTATCTATTTCCACTTAAAAAGTAAAGGAGCAGCCAACAGAAAGTATATAATCTCAATAAACTATACAGTCAAAAGTCGTTAATCTGGACTCGTCGGGACTTCGGCGATTCCGGATTATAGATTATCAGTTTAAATCTCGTAAGATGGCATGCAGAAATTCTAAAATTAAAAATATGAAACCATAATTTATGAAATAAAGAACAATTATGATCTAAAGGGTATCAAAATTTACAAAAAAAAAGCTTAATATTTATTTGTTTACTTTATTAAACGTTTCTTTCAATGCAAGTTGTTTAAGTTGCTTCATTTTATGTGATAATACTTTCTCTTTAATTCTATAAACAGACATAATTTCTTGTTCAGTTACAAAGTTCCGCTGTTCAAGTCCGTAATTGCTGTGCCGAAAATACCGACTAACTTGTCAATCGAAATTTTTCGTTTTCACTAACCTCTCTGTCACCTTCTTCATGTCTTTTTTATCCATTTTTTTGCAGCAATTCCACTTTTGTTTGATGGACATCGAAACATACTTTCGTTTTGTAGATCCTTTGGGAGCTCCAGCATCGGAAATTCTATTTGACATAATTGAAAGTTCAAGTGTACTTTTATAAAATTGCTCTTACAGTCTGCAAAAAATAATAAGACGGATCCAATTCGAAGATTAAGGAACAACGCAATCATCAACATCAACTGAAATAGATAATTAGATAATTTTAGCTTATACCGTCCGTTATACATAAAACGCTCACGCAAAAAACGTATTCTGCGCTTGCGCACACGCATATGTGCAGTCGTAAAGGTTTTATGCGCACGGGTAAACGCCTATGCGCATGTGTCAACGTGGCGCATGTGCAGAAAGTTTTTAGCTTTGAGGTCTGGATTATGGCTCATTCCGGATTATGGGTGTCCGAATTAATGACTTTTGACTGTATTTTAAATCACACAATGAGATAACATAAAAAAGGAAATTTATCTTAGCACTACACAAAGGAAATATTCAATTACCTTATTTAGAAATTTCCATGCCTTGAGTCAAATGAAATTTCTTAACAGCATCCAAAAACTACCTAAAATTATCTGAACTAGAATCATTATACTATACTGGCGTCACCACATAAATTCACAAAAAAAAAGAAAAAAAAAGAAAAATATCCTCCATAGTGCCAGTGTCGTCCGACATTCGGACCATACGCATTTCTTTTTTGCAAACAAGATATTCGTAATGGCTACTAAATAAACCTTCATCTACACACCAGTCAATTAATGCTTTTTTCCTCTTTCATTTCAATTTATACAAAAACTTCAAATTAATCTTACCACATTCAGCCATTTTACCGTGTAAACCACAAAATAACAATGTACTTTTTATCCAAAATCCGACACATTAAAATTTTTTCCATCATTCAAATTGACCGGGATCACACAACTCATTATGTCATTATAGGGTTTCCATAGCATTCAACTACTCAGGACGGTTATTCTACGCTACGAGAGTCGACAGCAAGTTGTGGGCCGCCAGATGTCACTGCTAGTGAAAAACAGGTCTGCTCGACATCTTATATTCTCTGAGTACGGAAGTTGTAGAAAGCGCGCAAAAAAGTGTTGCCGCGTCGTCAATCAGGGTTGTGCAGTTGACGTACTAAGTAGACAATGGCTTTGTATATGTTTTCGCCACTGATTTTTTTCATATTTAAACGAAGAATACGGTCGTAGATCTCTGAATCGGTGGCGAAGTTATAGAAAATATGTTGATGCTTTTTGCTCTGCCAGAAGATGTTTTCATTGCGTATTTCAGATTGCCAAAATTTATAGTTATTTTAATTTGCGATGAATTGGTAGAGTATTTGGAACCACATTCAGAAAACAAGAACGCAGTTTCTACTGAAAGAAAGGTTATTTATACTATTCCTGAAATTATAAATATAAATTGTAATTATATGCTTTAAAAATGTAGAAGATAATAAGTTTATTAAGCACATATAGACATCCGATAAGCTTCTACTCGATTTATGTACAGCAAGAATTACGTTTATTTTAAAATCTAACAGTTGAATACCTTACGAACAATACTGTACACAAAAAGGAATGTCGTTCATTATTACGCGAAATTCACACTACTGTAAAATAAAAATTTAAAAAACAATTATAAAACTATAAAATAGCTTTATAATATTTTTTCAGTAGCAGTACTACTACTAGTGTGATATTTTTAAAAATAAGTTTTAGCCTAGAAGGGCTATTAACTTCGTTTTGCCATTTTGCAGCGTTTCACTTTTCCAATCGTTGCCACTAAATATCATCGCACTGTATTATATTTAAAGAAATTAAATAATGAGAAATCTGCAGGCAACATTGTACGGGAAAAAAAAAAGGGGGGGAAACATTTTCATCTCTAGCTTGCGAAACTATGTATCGGAAATTCTAAAGATATGCTCTTTTTAAATTATATGATTTTGCTGTTGAATTGAATGTTATGGTTTAAATGCAAAGAACATGATATTTAATAAATAAAGGTAACACACAAAAAATTGAAAAAACCGGCCTTTTGGTAGTAATATAAAATCTGAAAGCTTTCAGATTTTTTTTACTTTTATGTGTGTAATTTTATTATGCTTTAAAATTGGTTTCTAAGGGAGGACTTTCTGAGGGAAACTGGCTCGTATACACATCACATATGGGAAAAGCCACGAAAACGCCGATGCGGGCAGCTCGTTCGTGGGATTCGAACCTTGGACCAAACTACCTGCGTTCAGCGACTCTACCGCTCGGCCACTGGTTGGCTTATTAGCAGAGTTATACTGTATTATTATTGTATTATGCTATAAAGTAACAATACTGTAAGACTGAGACATACCTTAGAATTTCCGATACATAGTTTCGCGTGCTAGAGACGAAAATGTTTTTTTTTCCTCTTTTTTGTTCATGGAATAGTACTTTTGTAATCCATTAGTATTAAAAAGTCATTGTTTCTTTGCAAACTTAAAAAAAAAGATACTGTTCATAGCAGAGTTCTCATTTTTATATTGTAAAAGAGATATTGATTATTATTAGTTTTCTATTTAATGTGTCGAAAGGCTGGTTTGACAAGGACTTCAACTGCAGAAAAATATTTAAAGAAACATTGTGAATCTGGAAAAAAATCACCTTCAGTATATTTGAAAAAACACTGATAAATTTATAAAATAATCTGAATTAATATAAATGTGTATTTGTGTATTTAATTATGGCAAAGCACACTAGGGCTATCTGCCTAAGAGGAGGGATGCCTTTCGTGGAGGACTTTCTAAGGGAAACTGGCTCGTATACACGTTACACATGGGGAAAACCACGAAAACGCCCATGCAGCCAGCCCGTTCGCGGGATTCGAACCTCGGACCGAACTACCAGTGTTCAGCGACTTTACCGCTCGGCCGCTGGTGGGCTGAATTAATATAAAAGATTTTCTTATATGAAATTATCTAAGTGCATTTAGTTACAATATTATTAACGCAAATATCGTTTTGTGTAAAGGTAAAGAAAATATTTTTTCGCGCTAAATTAATTAATTAATGGATTATTTATTTTGAGAAAAAAAAAAAAAAAAACCACGAAGATCCGAGTTTAAATTATCGCGAAAAGTCAAAGAAACGTTTTGTCAAAGAACGATTCATCTTAAACCCTGTTCCTCAATTTCCTATATACGTCGTACATTGATTATTTTTACTTTGGTACTTGCATTGTGAAAATAATATTACTAGCTTTTAATTATTTTCACAGAAGAATATTTTAAATAAGCAGTTTATATATATATATATATATATATAAGAAATTAAAATAACAGCAATGTATTATTAAAAAAAGTATTAGTAATTGTGTGACAAAAATTACAGTACGAATTAATCACACATACAGGATAAATTAGTATAATTTAGGTATATATTTTATATTGAAAAATATTTTCTTTCATGTTAATTATAGAATAAATTATTTAAAATAAAACATTTTGATGCGTGTGTGATAGCTGAATGCAGCAGCAATCGGCCGTACTGTAATAGTGAATGAATTTTAGTCCTTTTCCTGAAAGAAATAATTTTCATAGAAAAAGAAAATAAAAAAAAGAAGAAATATTTTCTTTCTAATTTCTTACTTAAAGGAATATTTTTCTAATATTAACTGTAAAATAAAATGCGTGAAAACAGCTTAATGTAAGCATATTAAAAAAAAAAAAAAAAAAAAAAAAAAATGAAGAAGAAGAACTTAGTTTGCAATTAGATTGCAATGCAAGTTAATCATATTATAAATTTAAATGAATAAAATTGTTTATTTCTAAAAAGATTTGGAGTAAGCTTAATTCATTTACTCTTATCTATTTACCGTTGCTTTCATGGTATCCCATATCACTCTATATTTCTTAGTCCTAAATTCCTGCGTTAACTTTCCCCTTAAAGAACGGATAACATAGCAGCATATTCTGCTGTGTGTTGGTCATAATACTGTTTTGTCATAATACTGTCATAATACTGTTTTTCAAACAACAAATGCAGCATGTGAGTTAGTGAAATAATGGGAGAATATTCCTAGAGCTTTCAGCCAGCGCGCGCTATAAATTTCGTCACTCGTCTGTACTGCGATTGGTCTAAAGCTCCTTGAAGCCTTGTCCCCTTTCAGTAAAGTCAAATGGACCCACCCGCCCATCAACTGAGGACCACAGAATGGCTTTCTCCGATAAGTTGTGATGGGTTATCCATACCGGTTTTTTTGAGTCAATATTGTTCGCTCAAATTGTAGACAGATCCAGTGATCATAGAATAGGCGTCCAGGTTACCATAAATGAAACCTCAACTTGGCAATGAATGAAACAACAACCAAGGGACACCCTTAAATCTACTCTAACCCTTTTTTAGTGTACTCCAAAATTGAAAATATGCTGTTAGATAATGAACTGCTTCATAAGAGTTTGTAAACTCTTCTAATTTATTCATTTGTTGGGCTATCATGATGTAGTGATTATAATTTAATATTTGATCATAAACAGTAAAAGATTTCTAATAATAAAGTACAGAAGAGTTATATTTTCCAAAAGCAGTTTTTTGTGGCTTTCTGATAAGAATTGCAATTTTGACTTTATTTGATCTGTTCAACATAAAACATATGATGCACATTTTTTTTAAAAAATATTATTTCTTTCACAGGTATTAGCCATTCGTAGGGAAGATGCTTCTGTATGGGAAAGAAGGGCCCCACTAGCTCCTCAACATGTCAAACAGTTGACTAAGGATGGCATAAAGGTTTTAGTGCAGCCCTCGAACAGAAGGGCATATCCCATGCAGGTTTGTTTTGAATCTGTGTGTATTTTAAAGTTCATTTCATATTTTAATTAAAAAATGTGATTTTGTTAATATTATTTGCAGTTATGTTATAAATACATAAAATCTGAGCATGTTATTAAAACTCTCATTATTATTCATGATTTTTTTTCTGTTAAATTATCTAAAATGTGTATCAGGGTTGCTGTTTGAAAAGTGCAAACTTACTTCTCCCAATAATATACAAAAAATTAGTATATTTAGGATGACTTTAATTTTGCAAGTGATATTAACTATATCTTTGTGCTTCCAAAAGTAGGAAATGATGTAAATATGTAAAAGTATTAGAGGGATTTTTTTTGGGGGGGAAGAGTTAAAGACTATGTATATTTGTATATATAGAGGGTCTTTAACCTGTTCATTCCCCCCTAAATTATTAGTCTCCCAGAAAAAATCTACATGAGGTTAATAATATAGATACTTATATATTATCACAGCCACCCTGGTAGGAATCGCCAAAGATACAGAATATACCAAAATCTGGTAACCATGTGCATAACAATTATTCAGACAACCATGTGAATGACAAATATTCAATTTCCAATGATGGCATTTTTGTATGCGTTCTTTTTGTGGTATTCCAAGTTCCAATGGCTTTTGTAGAAAAATTATGTTTATTTTTAGCCCAAAGGGACATTAAACCCAAAGAGGTATTAGTCTCAAAATGGCATTTTGTATCATTTCACTTTCTGCGTTGGTTCACTTTTCAAACTGATGCCACCAAATATTATTGCCGTATATTATATTTAAAGAAACTAAATAATGAAGAATCTGAATGAATGTTTCCCTCATTGTGAAAAAACAACAGTACCTAGAGCCATCCAATTTTGAATAACATAGTCCTCCAACCGAACATGGGCACTTGGAAGCCCGAATTTTGAATTTCAAATTTGTTTTATTTGCTTTTTCATAATGTGTAAAACTTTAATGAATTTTTGATTAACAAACTCAACAATTTCAAACCGAGCAATGGCAACCTGTATGGGGGAAAAAGGATTTTTATCTCCAGCGCACAAGACTGCATATTGGAAATTCTGAAGATATGCTATTTTGCTGTTTTTAAATATTTTGTGATATTGCTGTTGAATTGAATTTTTATATGGTTTAAGTGTGAAGAATATGATATTTAATAAATAAAGGTAACAAGCAAAACATTAAAAAAAAGACTATCTTTTGAACATAATATAAAATCTGAAAGCTTTCCGATTTTCTTTCTCTTCTTTTTTTTTTTTTTAAATCTTAAACTTAATTTTAAAATTTTTGCGTGTAAGGTTTTCGTGTGATAGAAGAAAGATAGGTGAAATTTCTGTAGGAATGCATTAATTTGCTGCAAAATCACTAAAGGAGCAATGTTTCAAATTCTTTCTCAAAGCTATCGCTATGAAATTTCCGCAACAACGAAAACAAAAATTAATTTGTAACTAGGTTTTACTGATTATATAATATATGAAACATAGAATATGTATTTAATAATATGTATGCATGTAATGTATAATTTTTTACAATAAAAATAATTTTCTCCACCCCTCCCCATCCCTGCCTCCATAAAATTCACCAAACTGCACTAAGGTGGTTGCAATAATATGCAAATACCATACTTTATTGGTATGTCTGATATGCATTAATAAGAAAGATATCTTTTTAATATTAGAGCCATAGAATGAATCAGCTTAATTTGATTATGTGGGGTATAGCTGACACATGCAGTTCATAGTAGTATCTTGAACTTTAATGCGTCGCATATAGACAAAATAGGTGGTTAACTTGCTGCCATTCTGAGATAAGCATTTGGCATGTCCAATCAACTCCCAAATGTAATTTGATCAGAGATCTAGCAGTAAGTCTAGCTGTTAGACACGTTTTAATACATGTATAAAAAAAATTCAGTATTATGCAAGTGCTGTGAGAGAATAGTGTTCTTATGAGAAAACTATTTCTGATTGAAAAGTGTCCTATTGATTATTAAGTTATTGTAATAAGAATTATAATAAAAACTGGTCTCAAAGATTTATTTGTTGCTGCTATTACCAGGAAAGTAATATATAGGACTACTCTGATATGTACTCTAAAATGCCTGGCTATCAGAGCCGACTCCAAGTACCAGGTGATTTACCCTGCATTGCTATGCGACTGCTACCCTGCATTGCTATCCAAGTTGTCTAAATGTGCCTGTCCCTCTAGAAGTGTGTTCCTGTAGTACTGAATCACTCTGTATACTTAAAAGAGTATTGCTGCATCATAAAACTATTCTCGAAATCCCTCTAAGCTATTTCTGAATCAGAAGATTATCTGTTTTTTAAATCCAAAATTATGCATATGTTTTCTGATTTGTAACTAATTGTTTTCATCTTTTTGTCATTTAAAGCTGAGTTGTATAGTATTTGATAATATTTACTGTTACATATAGTCATAAAATGCAAAACTCCTATCTCGTAATTCTTAATGTTTAAATCAAAAATATTTTAAAACAGTAGCATCTCCCTCTTTTGAGAAATAAACTGTTTATAATTTATGTCTGTTTCTTCTTTTTATCTCAAACTCACAACAAAAAAGATATCTTCCCTGTATTTTTGGTAGTGGTATGAGGTTTATTCCCTTGCTAAATTAACCTCATTAATAACGTAACTGATTTATGTCTGTTTCTTCTTTTTATCTCAAACTCGCAACAAAAAAGATATCTTCCTTGTATTTTTGTTAGTGGTATGAGATTTATTCCCATGCTAAAATAACCTCATTAATAACGTAAATGATTTTGTTTAAAATGCAGTTGTCAGTAAAAAGGCTTTATTTTCCCCCTGGATCTATTTAATTTTTCAGTACTATTTAATTTCAGATCTATTTAATTTTCAGTATGATTTTAAGAGATGGTTTAACTGGTGATGATATTAAGAATAGCTCTCTATGTATCAGTTGATGACATTCACGTGATTCAAATTTGCAAAATGCAAAACTTTAAAATTTTAATCTGAGCTCATATGTGAGAAATATCTAATAATCTTCATGGCATCTGTTTTGCCAGCGCAAGCGATAAAGTCGCCAATAATGGTACAACTGATGCCAAATGCAATATCTTCACTGGTAACCTTTAACACCTCATTTTTAAAACAAGTTGTAGCCATTTCTTACCATATTGATTGTTTCTTTCAATACTGGTATACAATTACATAGAATATTTGCAAAGATAATTAAATTTTCTGCTTTAAGACCATTCGCAGTAATTAAGTCAATTAGGATGCAATAATACCGCTCACCCAAAGGCGAAAATATAATAGAAAAGGCAAAATCAAGGGCATAGAAAAGGCAAATTAAATTCATCAATTCTAATGAGAGTGCACTAGCAAAGTAAAGCAATACGGTTTTACATCTGAGTAAGCTATTCGTACGAATTGAAACAATTCTTGCATTTAAACTTGTATTCCAAATTAAGATTTAACTTGAAATTAATGTAGATAATTACTGAGAGAATTATATTTTTGTAGCGTAGTTTACGTGAGATGAGATTACCTTGGGGTCACATGATATGAACTATCAAATCAGGATGTTGAACCATGATAGCATAATAAATTCTTAAATTAATGTCTTCTTACAAATTTATTGTCTTTATTTATTGGCCTTTTACAAAATTATAAACCATGTTAAAATGTTTATGCCTTCAAAATAAAAAAAATTCTTAGAACTAATATTTGTTGAATTTTTTTTATGTATATACCATATGTTGTCGCCAATAAAGTCTTGGCGAGATTTGCGCCGGCGAAACAGAAAAGTACCAATTTTCCACTTTTTTTTTTTTACTTTTCACTTCTTTATTACAGCATGTTTACTTTAAAAAAAAAATTAAAATCTTTATAATTTCAGGCTTACATCAATGCAGGTGCAATAATTCAGGAAGATATTAGTGAAGCTCCTGTTATAATTGGAGTGAAACAAGTTCCTATTGATAAACTTTTGCCTGACAAAACATACTGTTTCTTCTCGCACACTATTAAAGCTCAGGAAGCAAACATGCCTATGTTGGACTGTATACTAGAAAGGGTTTGTATATAATTTCTTATGCTTGATGTAAGATTCTTTTTGACAGAAACTATTAAATATAATTTTTCATAATTTTTCTTAAAAATTTACATAGAATTTTAGAATATAAAGTTTAATCATGTTAGTTCATTATTGCATTATTATATATATTTTTAATTCTTTAAATTTCTGCAATTTGCAGTGTTCTAACAATACTATTTTTGTTATAAAGAGCCAGATTTACATGAAAATTTTATTGAATTATTTTTTATTTTCCAAAGTAAATGCTATCAAAACTCTTAATATTGTGTTTATTTATTTATAATTTCTTAGAATATACGTTACAAATTATATCAGTTGAAAAGTAGTTTCTGGGCAGTGTTTTGATTAGTAAAAACTAGCCATCTTATTTGTAAATGTTCTTTATTTTTAATTGCTTACCCTTAATCTTTATCTTTCTTTTCCTTGATTATTAAACATAAGGTGAATTTTTTTAAAATTCCTTGAGTATAGCTTTGTAAGAAATTCTGATATTTATAATTATATATATATATATATATGTAAGATAAAAATTGTAAATCAGCTTTATAATTTATTAATAGCTTTTTAATTCCTCATTTTTAATTTGGGTGTTTTGTTTCTCTATTTTGAAAATACCAACATTTCTGGACTGTGCCATTTCTAGATTAATCTATGCCACAAAACTTGCATAACGCTGATGACGTAGTAGTAGTACTAACTCTGAGAACTGAAACCTTTCTCTTAACAGACTGCCATATTAGATAAATTCATACTTTTAGCTTCACACTCTGTGCTGCTTGGATGCTGCTGTGCTCTCTTCCTATTGCAGTAGTATTAAAAAATGTAAATATTATTGAATAGGCACAGTTGAATTGTGGCCACAAATGTGAATTTAAATAAAAGTGGAATTTAATCCGGCTCTACTTCTTCCTCTTAATATGGGTTGATGCTCTAAGTTTCAAGTAGCTATGCCATGCAGTATTGCTATGCTTCTACATCTCAGTGTTCTTACTTCAGTACTTCTAAATTTTGCTTTTATAAAAATGTAATGAAACAGAAAACTTTAATATAAATGTGCTTGTAATTTCACTTTTCTAAAGTGAAATATTTTGTTGCTATGATGAGTATCGAATTTTGCTTTGAGCAAGTAATCAGGTATCTACTCTGCAGATGAGATGGAGTATTAATACATTTAATTTTGGCAGTTATGGTAGCATACGAGGTCTTTAAAAAGAATTCCATATGCCGGTACCACTGTTTGGCAGATACTGCTACTATGCGGTAATCTTGGCAAAAAACCTCTTGCTTACCGAACATTTTTTATTAGTATTGTATTTCATTGGTTTGTTTAAGAGTTTGTTGCCTCATGATTTTAAAAATGTCTGATTTGTATGAGCAAAGTATTAATATCATATTTGGGATAACATTTGTGAAAATTCACAAAATGGTAAAATGTGTACTGATTTGTATTTAAGAAATATCTCACAGTTAACAGGATGTCAGTTGACAGTCGTTACAGCACCAAATGCAGTAAATAGTTTATTTTTCTTTATGAATACATACACAGTGATATGTTTGCAAATAAGTGGGAAGAATGAGTATCACTTCAAGGTGATTCTTTGTCATATTTTTTTTTTACTTCTTAAATGGACAAATTAGTAGCTGCCAGGTATGAATGGCTGTAAATTAACTACAAATATAACTTCATGGCATCCTGTATTAATCCTGATACAGGATGTTGTACAAAATGGTGAAATAAACGTGAGCATAATACAGGTCACTACTATCTAGATTCCTACCTCATCGAATTCATGTAGTGTTAATTGTGCATAAAATCAAATATTTGCAGCAGTGTTGAATGATTTTATGCCTCCTGTATGAACTGAAATTAATTTAGTAAAATATATTTAGTCTGTAAGATTTTTACTGTGTAAATCTCAATTACTGTAGAAAATGACGAATCTTAAGAACTAGTTAGCAAATAATCGCTTAAGTTCGTGTGCAAGAAACAACAAGATGGAAGGGTAACTAACCCTTTATTATTCCAATAAAATTTAACAAAACTCCGTCTTGGAGTGTATAATCAAAGCCGATACTTGGGCTTGAACTTATGAAACTAAGAATTAAACTAAAACTAAGATTAACTAAAGAAAAATAACTGAAGCTATCAAGTTTCTAATGCCCCTTAGACACCAGATGACTGTGAAGCTATCAAGGGCCTGAGTATGCCCGAGCGTAATAACAGCTTTGAGAGAGAGAGTGGCCAAAAGGCAGATGCACGTAAATCAGAAACTCTGATCTCTCTCACTAAGACCAAAGAACTTCGTGGTTAAATACCGCTCCTCCTCATTATGTCTTCAGACGTGATTCTAAAACTACATTCTGGCCGGAAGTAGTAAGTTGAAGTTAAGAATTTGACAGGAAAGGAACTTTAACTTAAAATTTAACTGTTAATAAAATTAATATAATCCTTACAAGTCATTATTTGTATTTTTTCTAAAGTTAATAAGTTAGTCATTCTTTTCATTAAATTTAATATTTCGTTAGAGTTACCAATATCTAATTAAATTTCAATTTTTATGTTTGGTGTGAAGTCCCATTAAGAGAAAAGTACTTTAGAGTCATACACAGTGTTAGGAATTGTTTAAGAGATGGTTTAACTGGTGATGATATTAAGAATAGCTCTCTATGTATCAGTTGATGACATTCACGTGATTCAAATTTGCAAAATGCAAAACTTTAAAATTTTAATCTGAGCTCATATGTGAGAAATATCTCTGTATCTATCAAAAAAAAAAAAAAAAAAAAAAAAAAAAAAAAGATGCTGTTTAACTTTTCTACTTAATTATGATTTGCGTTAATCATATAAAAATTTCGCACTAAAAATGAAAGAAGGGATTTTGAATATAAGAAACATGAGCAACTTTTGTCTACCCCCTACTGCTACTTTAATGTTAAGTACTGGAAAAGCCATAGAGAATTTTATTTTTGACCTTTTGTTATTTAAAATGCTCAGACTATTGGAATTTAATGCATTCATTGGTAATGGCTGAAACTCATCAGTGATTTACCCTTCTCATCATCAAAAATGTGATGAGTGAATTACGACTATGAGGACGGTGATGTTTGTTTCCAAATTTCTTGGAGAACATCCTGAGGCATCAAGGGGTCTTCCACCTGTCTTCCCAAATTACTCAAGAGGACTTCCAGTTCACTAGCATTTTAAGTGTCCCCATTGTGCAAAGATACTATGACTTAAGACACAATAACACGCCGAATAAATACTAATTCAGAAGTCAAACAACAAAAATCAGCGTTAAGTTTTGTAAATTAACGCTGATTTTTGTTGTTTGACTTCTGAAATACTATGACTTATAAACATACATGCTTTTTCCTGAATACCCAGGTTGCATTAGACTATGGTATTTGACTTTTCCACTACTAAGCCATCATGGTGGCATTTTCAAACTTGTTTTTATAGCTATGTTAAATATTAGATTGTGTTTCATAATAATGAATTCTGCATGTTTTGGCTTTATTTTTAGAACAGTATTGCAAGAGTCAAAGTTTGCTTGCATGGATAACTTCTTTAATTTCCTCTGTTTCGTTTGCTAAAAGGTCCTTAATCTTTTTCATTGGTGGTCCTTATAAAGCCTTAAAAGTTCTTAATTCCCATTTAAGAATGAAACGAAACATGTCATCATGTTGCTGGGCTAATTAAATGTCTGATATTGCACAAAGCATGTTACATCATGGCTGGGAAATGGTCCTGATGTTTTTAGAGTTTGTAAAATGAATTATATGAAACAGTTTATTGTGTATGATTTATTATAGGAGAATTCTAGCATACACAAAGTGGATTGCTGTTGCTTGAATAAAAGGAATAAATTGGAACTTTTTGAAATAAGTTAACAATTTTTGATGCAGTTATTGCTATCACATAGCTAAGGCTGAAACTTAATTTAAGTAAATTAAGTAAGTTCAATAATAATTCTTAGCTGGAGAAAAGTCTGTGGTACTTTAAGTATGAATAGGTAAAGCATGGGGTCTCATTGAAATTATTTATGGGTTAAAAATTTTAATTGGAGAAAATGCTTATGCATGAATAAAGAAAAACACAGGTAAAGAAGCCTGTAGAATTTTATCAGTATAAAGCTGTTCTTGAAGCTATTGCTTAAAACAAGCTAGGTTCAAGAATACATAGATGCTGAAGATAAAACACGAAGAATGAAAATGAGATTATATAGGCTGTAATAAACAAATTTTATGGAACTATATCTTTATTCAGTGTTTGTCATATTATCCTAAGGAATGCCAAAGCAAATTAATAAAAAAAATGGTAGAAAATGCCATCTGAAAGAAAAATTGAACAATATTATGTAAATTTTATTTTAGATGCCATTTTAAACAGTAAATTGTATGTTTTTGTTAAAAACGTTGTGTAATTTTTAAAATATGTATATAACCTTTACATGAATTACAATTTTACAGGGGAAGTTTAGACTATCTGTGTGAGGTATGTCTGCATTAATTAGAATGACTATTCAATAATTTGATGTAAAAAGGAGTGTTCTTTATAATGTTAACATGTTTCAGAATTAAATGGTATAAAGCTTTTGGCTATAAGTTATAATACCCAGTAGTCATTCTGAGATAAATTAATTTGATGCAGTAGATGAATTTGATGATGTGCATCTAGTTTGCCACCTGGATGAAACTTCTCCAGCTGTTAGTATTTCTTGATAGTTTATCCGCAGGAATTTTTAAACTGCCAAATGTTAAAAATATGTGCCTTATTTTTACAGTCTGTATGTAGAAAAGCTAAAATTTAGACACAGAAATCTCTACATTGTTAGCTTTTTGTGGAATTTTTTATTCTGTGGTGTCAGTTTATTTTTTCTTCTATGATTGAAAATACATGCATATTTCATTTAGAAATTTAATTTTTGATAAATTTTAAGTAAACAAATTTGATGCTGTTTTGACAGTATTTAGGAAAATTAAATGGCTGTTGAAGATTTGATTATTTTTTTTTTTTATATGTTATCCCAATTTTTGCAATAAGTCTAAAAGTCTATTCTGTTGCTTGTGAAAGAAATATTAGCTAGTGTCAGTAATATTTCTCCTTGAATATGTTAGATATTTGCATATAACTTTTGATATTGTAAGTTGCCTGTATTAACACATTAAGCCCCATTTGTATTCAAATTAACATTATGTATATTAATCTAACTGGCTACTTGTATTAGCTTAAATATTGTGACGTGCATTCAGATTTGCTTACGTAAGTTGTGAAAAAAAAATGCTTCATTCAAATATACACTCTGTTTGAATGAAGTAATAGTTTTAAGTTGTCCAGTGATATATAAAACTTTCGCAGACAAAAAAGAACTTTTGTCCAGATGGAACTTGTGAATACAAACTAAGTGTAGTTTAAAAAACTGATATAAATATATGCTTTAAAAATGTATGACATGACATTAGGAAACATTTATGATATGTAAATCAAAAGAATACTAGTAAAAAAGTGACCCCCCTTTTTTTTCCTTATATTGTGGCATTCAGTATGTTAAAATTACTTTATATTAGCTGTGGCACTATAATATAATGGAGGTAATAACACAAATGAAATCATTAAAATCTTGTTTTTGAAAGGTAAAAAAATTCATTTTTTAATCAGAACTATGGCAAAGAAATTCACTTTAATATCTGTCAAAAAGTAATGTGAATTTTTTTAAAACCCTTTTCTTCTTTTTTATTCTCTGTGATTGTTAGATCTTAAAGCCAGATTGGAATTTTATCATGAATATAGACCATTTGTTTTTAACAATCAAATAATTTCCTTTCTCAAAAGAGTTTTATTTCAGTGATCGCTTTTATTTTAAAGTTTATGTAAACCAGATAAACTGTGATGCTTAATGTTCAATTAGTTGGAATCATTATTAATATAATACTATGCTTAATTTTTGTTTTAGAATATACGATTAATTGATTATGAAAAACTGGTTGATGCCAAAGGTCAGCGTGTAGTAGCTTTTGGAAAATTTGCTGGAGTAGCTGGGACAGTGAACATTTTGCATGGTCTAGGCCTTCGGCTTTTGGCACTTGGCCATCACACACCTTTTATGGTAAGTTATGCAATAATTATATTTTTGATATGATTGCATTTTCTTCTTGTGTTTAAAAATTTTAACACTTAATGTATGAAATTTCTTAATCTATTTTCAAGCAGCATTTTCAAGCTCACGCTTGAAGGTATTGGTTTGTAATAGAAAGGCAAGTAATATTGTAAATTATATGTTGTTTATCAAACTTCTCAAATTTGCAATTTAGGTTCTTTCCTCCTCTTTTCTAGAAATTTAAAGTAAATAATTTTCTTGTAATTTTAAAACATAATCTTTCTTTTATTATTGTTGCATTTATTTTAAACAGTTATCCCTAATTTAATAAATTTCTGTATGTGAAAATGTATATGTACCTGCAAGACAAATTAAATTCTTTTTACTGAATAATTGACTGAAATGGAGAATAATGGCATCTAAGCATTTTGTAAATTCTTTGTTTTATTGACTGTTGTGTTACAACCATACATGTCTTCAAGAAAATGTGTTCTCGTAGGGCATTAAATAAGATGCGTATGTAGCAAAACTGATTTCCTCTTTGATGTTTTCCAGAACAAAACTTTTTATCATAATATAAGGAAAAATCGCATCACCCAAGGCATCCATAGGTTGTTGGTTATTTATATTCTAATTGTATCATTACGCGAATTTAAGGTCACTATGTTCACTTTGTTTCATAAATTTAAGGCCATTTCCTTCGCAGTACTGAATGCTGGATTGGTGTTCAACTGCACTCAGCAGTCAAGGGTACTTAGAGTATCTTAAAAAATGATTAGTCCCGAGATTTACAAGGAGGGCTTGCTGATTCAGTAACCAAATAAGCAAAGAAAATCTTAAGTTTGCCTCTTAAGGGAACAGAAAAACTTTGGAGAAAAGACCTTTCATCTCTAATAGCTCATGCGGTAAAATTGAACAGAATTCTATTAAGTTTTAATTTATTATTTGTAACAAACTAACATGTTCATTTAATCCATGCTGCATAAAAGATGGAAAGCAATCATTAGCATATTTAAGGTTTTGAAACACCCAAAGAGAGTATTACTACAACCATTAGCAAGTATATAAAATTAACATAAGAAAAGGCATTAAAATAAAACATATAACTTTAAAACAAAAATCTTTCACTTTATGTAACAAATTCGAAAATAAAATATAAAAATTCCAAAAGTTCAAAATTGCCTTGTTCTGAGCTTGTAATAGTTCTACACTCATGTCCATAAATTAAGGATAATTCGGAGTCACGCGGAAATCGAACTCTAAAATAAATATATGACCTGTAAAATCACTACACACATCTTCAAGAATCATATGCAAATTTCAGGAAGTAACCAGATGACACCGATGGTACGTCACAATGACGAGAGTGTAAGAGAGTGATATATGAGGAATACAGGCAAAGAAGCAAAATTGTCGCAGGCGCTTTTATAAGCATTTCAGTGCAATACCGAATAGTTATGACACAAAGGACACATTTGGATGATTTTTTACATGGTAGAATTATCGGCCGTCTGGAATGTGGACGTACCCAACTGGAAGTATCGGACGAACTTGGAATCCAGAGTGTCATCTCCAGGCTGTGGCAACGATTCCAAGATGATGGTAATGTGAGTAGACATTACAGCACAGGTCGCCCCAGAGTTACAACGCCGAATGAGGACTGGTATTTGGCAGTTACTGCCAAAAGAAACAGGCAGAGCACAGTCTCAGACCTGTCTCGTCAGCTCTCTTCAGCCACTGGTACGACAATTTCAAGGCAGATCGTGTACAGATGCTTAGGGCAGATTGGTCTATATGCTCGTAGACCTGTCAGATAAGTTCCACTTACTGCAACTCACTGTCGCCTGGAGTAGAGAGCGTGCATTGTGGACACCGCAACAGTGGGCTTGTGTGATGTTTTCCGACGAGTCCAGGTTTAGCTTGCAGTCTGATTCTCGCCGGACTTTCATATGGAGAGCTCCAGGTACTCGTTACACCACCAAAAACATCATTAACGACAACCGTTACAGTGGTGCAGGAGTGCTCGTTTGGGGTGGAATTATTCTGGGTTCCAGAGATGAACCTGCATGTTCAAATTGGAACCATAAGAAGCCAATCTATCGGACGTATTCTGGAACAACATTACATTTGTTTCGGGGGCCATGGGTGCGCAATTTGTGTTTATGGATACAACGCCCATCTCACCATGCAAACATGTGCGAATGCCTTCAATCGGAGGATCACCTAGGACTGCCAGCTTCTCATGGGCTCTGGGACGATTAACAATCATACCACCATGTAATATTTTTTGTAAATAGGTTTTTTTTTTTTTTTTTTTTTTTTTTTTTTTTTTTTTTTTTTTTTTTTTTTTTTTTTGAGGGAAAAAGCTTTTTTATAATATCACATATAGCTCTTTTTTTGCTCTTTACCTTTTGTTAATATAAGCTTTACAAATAAGTCAAATTGGTTTTGCTTCTAACTCTTCTTTGCCTGATTTTGCATTATCCTTAATTTATGGACATGAGTGTAAATTAAGCTGTTAGTAACAGGAAAAGTTTTGCTGTTGGACGTTTAGTTTTCCATTTTCAGTCTGTATATCAACTGCATGCACTTTATTGGCTTTACCAGGGTACATCTATATAATCAATATTTGTGTGAAAAGTTATCTGCTAGGCAAGCTATAAACATAAAACTTCTACATTTAAGGTAAGGTGAACATTAGTCGAAAACTGCAAATCGATAGGAATATGGTTTATCCAAATCTAGAGTTGGCACCATATAAAATAGTCAAAACTGTGTAATCTCTGCTTATTGAAAAAATTTGGATATCGAAAAAAGGAGCTTAGGGGCTTTGAAGAAGCACTGCTAAAATGGTTTGCATTCAGCAAGGCTTCTCCAAGCCATAATCTGCCAAGGTCTGGACAAATGCTCCAGGAAAAGGCCATTGAATCTGTGTTACTGTTAACAAATTTAATAAATGTGTATAGTTATAATTAAATCATAATATGATTTTTTAAAATTGGATTTATTATTCATGTCTTTTGGTAGGTTACTTATTTGTTTCTTTGTTAATCATTCGTTTTTTGAGCATTTTGTGATATAATCTTATTGGATCAGATGTAGTGAACCAAACTTCAGGTCACTTGAAACTTGTTATAGTAAAGTTTGATTGTAGCTTCATTATGTTTCTATGTATATAGAGAGCATATTACTGCTTCCAAAGTATTAAATTCTTACGTACTGATCAAAAGCAAATTTCAGAGCATAGAAATTTCTTTGTTTATTTATTTCTGAAATATTTTTAAAAAAAATTGCATGTGTTCTGTTAATATGACGATGTTACTTTATTGAGTTAAATTTAAATATATAAGCTAAACAGCTTTGTATGATAAATTGGACTGAGATTATGAAAGCTTTGGTTTTGTAGTTAATTTCATATCAGATTATAAGGTAGGCTAAATGCTTTTAATTATTTGAGTATGCATATCTTTATTATTAATTTTGGCTTAAATATTTTGAAAAAGGTAATGCTTGTAATCGCATAAATATTTTGAAAAAGGCAACAGTTCTGGGCTGATGTAACTAGATGAGTAGTGGAGAATTTTCTGAATGTAATTATGTATGTTTTTAAGTTGGAAAGCTTTCCTCAGATGCATATGATTCTTAATTCATACTTGAAACTACATGATGGTTGATGGTATAAGCTAATACAATACTTAATTTAATTTTTCTTTGTTTCCTTATCCAAAGGTGTGTTGGGAGAAGAATAATGATCCCTGACATAGTGCATTATATTGTACAGGGCAATTATAGCATGTAATGACTGCTTTATCAGTTTTTGAGAATTGAGCTAAATTGTCACAATTTCTTGCTTTTCTATATGTGTATGTGATAGAGAAAAAGAGCATACTGTAGTATTCTGCATTACTTTATTTAGTACTAAATTGAAGCCTAGAAACATGTAGAACTTAAGACAATTTAGTGTGCAAAAATTTCATACTGTGACAGGATTATTTTCCTAACTGTGATTTATTGCTTTCACCACCTACAGTAATCTTCAATCTGTTAGCATTTGGATGTGAGAAGAAGGAGGGATTACCAACATATGAGTTGGCTGCTGAAGTAATTGCCTTTAGTAATACAGCTTAAGTGTAACCATTTTATGTATAGTTAAAAGGAAGGGGAAAAGTATTTGTATTTTTGGGAGATTTTGCCTTTTAATAGATAAAGTGCTTTAAAAATTGTATTAAATGTTGTAAAGTATTACACTATTTTAAAATGCTGTCTTGTTAAAAATATTTAGTGTCTAATTATCTTTAGCATGTAGGTCCTGCTCACAATTATAGAAATAGTGGAATGGCTAGACAAACTGTGCGAGATGCCGGATATGAAATATCATTGGGTATGATGCCTAGATCTATAGGGCCTTTAACTTTTGTTTTTACTGGATCTGGAAATGTCTCTCAAGTAAGTGATTTTTTATTTCACATGTATAATCTGAATATTTATTTGTTATTCCATATGTTGTGCTTTGTATTATGCATGTGCATAAATTAATTCAAAGGAGGATATTTAACATCTTAAGTCTAATTATAGGACAAAATACTTAGCTAATTTGTTACATAGGCATGAAACTTTATGCTTACATATTCCACTTGATAGAAGCTGATAAATGGAAACTAATGACCTTTCCAAATAATGTATTTTTTAAAATCAATTTTAAGTGGCTAAAGTTTGTTTTAAATAATTGAAATGTAACACTATTTAAGCAACAAATGTGTCCTGCATAATTGAACTTCTTAAAATTGTATTTCATGTTAACTTTTTATTGGGTATGCTGCATTTTACAGAAAAGTAATAAAATGTCAGTGTGAATCTGTAGAATTATCTGTTGATTATAATTCCTTACTTGTGAATGTGGAATCATTGATATTTAACCCGTCACCACCAAAAGAGGCATCTAAAATCATGGAACTTATTTTATTGGTAGTCTTTTTTAAAAAAGTTTGTTTGCTGAAAATAGGTTACAAAATGTAATTGTTTTTGAAAGTGGTTAAAATCACTTTGGGGAGAAAGATTTTTCTTTCCTATGTCTGTGTTATATTAAATTGATTTTGTGAAGATTCTAACTAAAAGCTTTTTAAATTATAAATATTAATAATCTTTACCACATTGTTCATGATTTTTGCATGGATCATTTATTTTTTTACTAAAAACATATGAAATTCAAATTATTTATAGCAATCACCATTTATGGCAGGCTAGCCCCTGATTGTTTTTGTAAAAGAAGACATAACTTCTATTTTGTTCTCACATTTTGAAAAAAATATTAATATTTGAGACTGTATTTTCAGAATTACAGGATCAAGAAAAGTCACAATACGCAACTTTCAGAATGGATAAATTATGATCTAACATGAAAATTTAGAAGTGGATTTAAGTTTTTTTCACATGCTGTATCTATAATTTGTATCTCTTTATAATCTAACCAAACAGTATTGTCCATTTAAACTTCTATTGGAATACTAATTCAGAAGTCAAACAACAAAAATCAGCGTTATACCTACAAAATTTTCACAGGACTAGTTTCGATGGTTTTACCGAACCATCATCTTCAGCTGCAAAACCGCAAATGAACAAGATAGGAAATAATGATTAGATAAGATAAGAAAGCCTGGACAAGAATAAGCAAGTGGTGCCATCTGTTGGCGAAACCAGAACTAAAACATAATTTCTCTAAAAGCCGAAGGCAAATTTGGATTGGAATTAGGATCGTTAACTAGAACAGAAAGATTTTTATGAATGTGAAATGCCTCTAGAAAATCCAGTTCTCCAATGGAAGATGTTTTTTGAATAATTTTGGCAGCAGAAAAATTGAAAGTGTGATTTTCGGACCAACAATGTTGAGCAACAGAAGACTTCTGTGTTTCCTTTTTTCTAACATAAGCCTCATGTTCTTTGACATGAAATTTTAAGGCTCTCTTAGTTTGGCCAATGTAAATTAAACCACACTGGCAAGGAATCTTATAAATACCCCAGGAATTCATATCCGGAATGGGGTCCTTGAGTATAGAAGTTGGAATTTTATTGATGGGAGAATAAACAACCCGAAAGTTAGTTAAATTTCTGCAAAATATGTGCAACTTTATAGCTAATTGATGGAAAGAAGGGAATGACAACAGAATTTTTATAATCTCCTAAAATAAGAGTGTGGCTTTTAGTGTGTTGAGATGAGAATTTTTTAACTGCTTGATTAATAATGGTTGGGTGAAAAGCCCTGTCAATAGCTATTGCTTTTAAATAATTTAGTTCTTCATCAAGGGATAGTTTGGAAGGAGCAAACTTGAAGAGCACGGAAAACATAGGAATAAAATGAAGCTAACTTTTGTTTAGTCGGATGACATGATTTAAAGTGTGGTAGAAGGCAAACCGATGAAGGTTTACGGTAAACCGTAGTACTGAAGTTGAATGTGTTACGTGTGACCAGAATGTCGAGAAACTGAAGAGAATTGCAAGTCTCAAGTTCAAAAGTGAACTGAATAGCAGGAATCAATAGAATTCATTGTTGAAAGAACTTTATTTAAATCATCTTTATTACCTTCAAACAGGGTAAAAGTATCGTCTACGTAGCGGAACCATGCCGGGAAGTTTAAAGTTTCAAACAATTTTGATTCATAATAATGCATGTAGATATCAGCCAGGATGGGACTGAGGGGGCTTTCCCATGGCTAATCCCTCAGTTTTTTTGTAATATTTATTTTGGAAAAACAAAATGTGTTTGTTTCAAACAGAGTTGAGTGAGAGAAATTAGCTCCTCAATTTCGATGCAAGAGAAATGAAATTCGCGAAGTCTGGTTTCTAGACATCTTAATGCACCCTCTATGTCTAATGTCTAGAAACCAGACTTCGCGAATTTCATTTCTCTTGCATCGAAATTGAGGAGCTAATTTCTCTCACTCAACTCTGTTTGAAACAAACACATTTTGTTTTCCAAAATAAATATTACAAACAAACTGAGGGATTAGCCATGGGAAGCCCCCTCAGTCCCATCCTGGCTGATATCTACATGCATTATTATGAATCAAAATTGTTTGAAACTTTAAACTTCCCGGCATGGTTCCGCTACGTAGACGATACTTTTACCCTGTTTGAAGGTAATAAAGATGATTTAAATTAATTTTTTTCAACAATGAATTCTATTGATCCTGCTATTCAGTTCACTTATTATTAAATTATTAAATTTTTATATGACCAGAATGTCGAGAAACAGAAGAGACTTGCAATTCTCTTCCGTTTCTCGACATTCTGGTCACACGTAACACATCCATTTTCAGTACTACGGTTTACCGTTAACCTTCATCGGTTTGCCTTCCACCACACTTCAAATCATGTCAGCCGACTAAACAAAAGTTAGCTTCCTTTTATTCCTATGTTTTCTGTGCTCTTCAAGTTTGCTCCTCCAAACTTAACCCTTGATGAAGAACTAAATCGGTTTGCCTTCCACCACACTTTAAATCATGTCATCCGACTAAACAAAAGTTAGCTTCATTTTATTCCTATGTTTTCCGTGCTCTTCAAGTTTGCTCCTCCAAATTAGCCCTTGATGAAGAACTAAATTATTTAAAAGCAATAGCTATTGACAGGGCTTTTCACCCAACATTATTAATCAAGCAGTTAAAAAATTCTCATCTGAACACACTAAAAGCCACACTCTTATTTTAGGAGATTATAAAAATTCTGTTGTCATTCCCTTCTTTCCATCAATTAGCTATAAAGTTGCACATATTTTGCAGAAATTTAACTTTCGGGTTGTTTATTCTCCCATCAATAAAATTCCAACTTCTATACTCAAGGACCCCATTCCGGATATGAATTCCTGGGGTATTTATAAGATTTCTTGCCAGTGTGGTTTAATTTACATTGGCCAAACTAAGAGAGCCTTAAAATTTCGCGTCAAAGAACATGAGGCTTATGTTAGAAAAAAGGAAACACAGAAGTCTTCTGTTGCTCAACATTGTTGGTCCGAAAATCACACTTTCAATTTTTCTGCTGCCAAAATTATTCAAAAAACCTCTTCCATTGGAGAACTGGATTTTCTAGAGGCATTTCACATTCATAAAAATCTTTCTGTTCTAGTTAACGATCCTAATTCCAATCCAAATTTGCCTTCGGCTTTTAGAGAAATTATGTTTTAGTTCTGGTTTCGCCAACAGATGGCGCCACTTGCTTATTCTTGTCCAGGCTTTCTTATCTTATCTAATCATTATTTCTTATCTTGTTCATTTGCGGTTTTGCAGCTGAAGATGATGGTTCGGTAAAACCATCGAAACTAGTCCTGTGAAAATTTTGTAGGTATAATGCTGATTTTTGTTGTTTGACTTCTGAATTAGTATTTATTCGGCGTGTTATTGTGTCTTAATTCTATTGGAATGATAGGTGACATCTTTGCAAACTTCATATTCAGTGGGATTTCAAAGCCATTGAAATAATGTTGCCTTTCATGTCTTCATTCCCCCCCCCCTTGAAATTTTACATAATTTTAAAACATAGGGTTTTGATATTCAGGTTGGTAACAAATAAGGTGACTGTTTTTATAATTTTAGGTCTGAAATTTTTCCCATTGATTTATCTTTTCTTACATGAACTCCATTTTATGTACGCTTAACTAGCCAGAATTTTCACATATCTGGAATTTGGAATTTTTGAGTTTTTATACCGTTGTACCTATTAACTAATGTATTATTTAGTACAAATAAGTAATTTTTATTATTATATTGTTACTCCAAAGCATATAGAGTTAGATTTTGAATTCTTGTTATTAAAGAATACAAATCTCATCATTTATATCTGGTGTATGCATCCAAAAACTCTAGATTTTATAATCTGTTCAAAATGTGTATCTGTGATACTTACCAGGTTTATGGCACTAAGAAGGAAAATATAATTGTTGCTTAAAACTTCATTCATGATTTCCTTGCTTTTTGAGAAATGTGCATTTTATCTTCACCCATACGTTTAATTTTTTTTATAATTTTATAGAATTCGGGAAAATTTGTTAAGGCATTGGTCATATGCTGCCCTTGTAAGTACCTATGAGTATATTTTATTGCATTATTTCAAACAGCACATACTGTTCATTAGTTATATGTGGCATAGATCTAAGTTTGGCATTTAAGTTATCTTGACACTTGAAGATGGCTGTAGCGGGTGTAACGACGCCGAACTTCCGTGATGGAAAAACTCAGACATGTTGTCCTTTTTTTATATTTATTTTATAACTTAACATAGACTTTCTTGGTTAATTAAAAAGTAACTTTACAGCATTATTACAGAAGGTGAAATACTTTCCCGATGCATGATGCATCTTATTTGCTCAGCATATGTTCGGTGAAAAAAAGCTGTCATTGCCCCGTGTGTCAATCCTCGTTTTGAATCATTCCACACACAGCAGAATTATTAAATTGGAATTTAATTACATACAGATAATTTAATACTTAATTTTCTTTTACAATTTCACATTTGTAATTTTGTTTTCATGCATTTAGTTATAAATTTAGTGTTTTGCATGTTTCATTTATTTCTATTAATGTGATATTCTTTATATCAATACATATTAAGAATTAGTATATTAATTACATAGCCTCAAAATTTGAGTCATTATATTAAAATGCTGATTTTATATGAATTTTTTTGTAAAAGTAGGCTTAACAGCTGAAAATGCATGGGCCGGTGGCAGCATTCCATTTAGGGGGATTCGGTCCCATTGCTGTGTTTCATTCTACATGTGCTGGTCTCAAAGGGCTAAAAAAAAAAAAAATAAATGCATACTAAAATTATTGACATTTAAATTCACCATTTAAGATGCTTCATCAAAAAACCTGATACAACAATTATTTAACTAATACCTGTAGACTAACATGCCAAGAGAATAAATGTTAAGAAAAGTAAAAGTTTTAACTTGCTTTTCTACCTGTCAGGTCAATATTTAGGCAGCAAAAAAGGACAAATTGTATAAGTATTGACTTGAATCTAATGATATACTACACTAAAAGTAGTTAAGGGGTTGTGTTATATATATATATATATTAAAAAAATGGTTTTTATAAGTATAACTATGTATGTGCTTTTAAGTTTCACATAATTCGAGAAAAAAATGCAATTTCATTAAACGGTTGTCTGCTTTTGCTAGATTAGTACAATATGTTTATCAGTCATGCACAGCTGTTTTTTTAATTTGTTTCTATCATAGGGTGCTCAGGAAGTATTCCAGGAACTACCCTATGAATATGTCAATCCTACAGATTTGCCTCAAGTTGCAGAGCATGGATGTAAGTTTTTAAGCTAGTTATAAGAAAACATTTAAAAGAAGGAATGGAATTGCTGTTTCTTATATGAATTTATTTCATGCAGTTATTGTAGTCAAAATAATTAATTATTAATGTACTTAATTTCTAATTTTGCTATTTTAGCTATGAATAAAGTTTATGGTGCTGTAGTTAGCAGAGATGATCATATTCGAAGAAAAGAAGGGGGAGGCTTTGATGCAGAAGAATTTGAATTATATCCTGAACGTTATTACTCAAATTTTGCTAAAACGGTTTGTATTTGTGCTTTATAAATGAAACAGATTTTATAAATACGATTATAAAATTTTGTAATACAGTAAATGTTCCTCATATTAAGAAAAATTATAAAGTAAAAATTAAGGGGGTAGGATAGTTGAGCAAGGGCTCCTTTTATTGCACAGAGAACATCTAGTTACTAATGATTTCCAGCTATGTTTTTTAGCGTATCTTCAGTTATAGTAAAGCATACCTTATACTTCCCATCAAAGTTTTAATATTAAAAAACTATCACATACACTTGATTTTTAACATAAGCTCATTAAATGTTGAGAGATGATCTCAGGTTATCCTGATGGCCATAGTATTGGTTCTTCTCTGCTTATCCATTGGTTAGAGAACATTTTCTGCAAGAACTAATAGGCACATAAACACTTCAGTGTAAGTGCAGTGGAAGATTATCTATAGTCAAAATATATATATCTGTTATGTCCAGGTAAACACCTGTTGAATTATTGGATTCAAGCAGTGTTCTGCATTAGCCTGCATCAAGCATTTACTTCCAAGATATCCCGGTATTTCTTTAGTACATTGTTTTTTTTAACGCCTAATTATAAAAGTTATGTTTATGTTTTCATTTTTTTGAAGTAAGAATGGCATGAACGTGTTCCAGATTTTGCAAGAATATTAAGAATTAATATATTAATTAGGTAGCCTCAAAATTTGAGGTCATTATATTAAAATGCTGATTTTATATGAATTTTTTTGTAAAAGTAGCCGGTGGCAGCATTCCATTTAAGAGGATTTGGTCCCATCGCTGTGTTTCATTCTCCGCGCATTGGTCTGAAGGGGCTTAAAAAAAAAAATAAATGCATAATAAAATTATTGACATTTAAATTCACCATTTAAGATGCTTCATCAAAAGACCTGATACAACAATTATTTAACTAATACCTGTAGACTAACATGCCAAGAGAATAAATGTTATTGCGAAAGTTTTATTTTTGTGCACAGATAAAACTTTACAGTTAGTTCACTTTAAGCACACTGAGTGAATAAGTTTTGTTGACTGTAGGCATAAAATATCACATATGTATCAGTAGTATGGTTATGTTTAGTCTACTAGCTCTTCTAAAGTCTTTTAAATTTCGAGTTCTTTAAAACTTTACATACTGTTTTTTATGCTTTTAACATCTGATAGATCTCATTTTTATTCACAACTTGATTACTGCTGAACTAAAATTATAGTTCATTTAATAATGAACTCGCAATATGTGATGCATTTTCTCTTTTATAGATATTGATAATAGAGATTACTGCACTAGAAACTTGAAATGCCATTTGCACATTGCAAAAAGAGAAAAATATATAAAACTTTTCACGTATAGTGTAACAGTTGCATGTGCCTAATTAGCTTAGATATTATGAGTTTTCTGAATGAGGAAAATGTTTTCTATCTGGGCATTAAGATTGTTTTCTATTATCATATATTATAGGTTAGTCTTCAATCTCTTGTGTATAAATTAGTCTTGTCCTGACTGACCATGGTTGCTTGAAGAAAAACGTAATTCAAGGAATTAATTAAAAATACTGTTTACTGAACTAGGTGTCTATATCTTTTACATTAATAGCACTTGATAAAATAATAAAAATATTTTTAAGTATTTTGATATTTTTCGAAGGAATATATTTTATTTTTAGATAGCACCATATGCATCTGTCATAATAAATGGCATTTATTGGGCTGTTAACTCTCCAAAACTATTGACTATCCCAGATGCTAAGTATTTATTGAGACCTAGTTATACACCATGGCTTCCATCGAGTGAAGGTTCTCCATCATTACCTCACCGACTCCTAGCAATCTGTGATATCAGTGCTGATCCTGGTGGATCCATTGAATTTATGACTGAATGCACTACAATAGATACACCTTTTTGCTTGTATGATGCAGATCAGCATAAGAACAGTGAAAGGTAGTACTTTGTTTTTAAACTTCATAAATTTTGGATTTATTTTTTAAATCTGTAATACAAATTTGCATGCTGCTATCCCAAAACCTGATTTTTCTATATTTTTATTGAATAATAATAATATTGTTTTTTTGGAGGGGGTTAACTTCTGAGTTACTTTTTGTTCAGAAATGCCATTTTATAAATTTAAGCCGTTACTTTTTTTTTTTAATATGGAAAATATGAAAAGAACAGAAAAATGTGGGATAACCAATAGTAGCAGACAATGCCATAATATTTGATATTTTAATTATTCACCACAACTGTGTGTAATTTAATTGGTACATAAGCCAGAATGCATAAAGACTTTATCTGTAATAATGTTTATGCATTCTGGCTGTGTAATTGATTTATTTTTATTAATTATTTAGCAGTTAAATATAAATTACTGAGTGAATAATAATAAGCCAAATGTATAACCATTAATCTTCTATTTTGCAATTGAGTTGCAAGAATAATATCATATAGAAATGCAGGAATAATGTAAACAAAATCATTGTTATTTTGTTTTGAAATATGTTCTTTTTTAATGCTGGTCTAATTTGCATAACCAAAAGAGATTATTCTGCAGATTAAACTGCTTAATGATATACATAAATTCTTAATAATATTTTTTTGTTGATTTCAATATGGCTTATTCTTTTTTCCTTCTGTTTTTTTAATTGTCCTTAGGTTAATGGTGATTTGGGGTTTCCCATTATTACCTTAATTAATCAGGTGTAGTCTGTGTTTATATACCTGATAAATTTTAAGACTAATGTAAATTACCTCCATCTTCTGTGTAATGCAGTATAACTTTAATGTTTCATTAAATAAGTAAATCTCTAAAACCACCACTTATGGTTCCAAATAATTTTACTTCTTTAGAGGTTGTTGGTTCGGAAAAGTTCAATGTATTTGCTTTTTACTCTGCCGGAGATTAATATACAGAAAAGGCAAGTATAAGCATTATAGCTTATTTTATTAAATTGCAGCTTTGCTGGACCTGGAGTTCTTGTGTGTTCAATTGATAATATGCCCACTCAGTTGCCACTTGAAGCAACAGATTATTTTGGATATCTCTTGTATCCTTTCATGGAAAGCATTGTAAGTTCTAATATTGTTATTGAAATAAAACTTATAAATAATGTGGTTTGATTTCAAATAGGCATTCAGTGCCATATGTATCTAATAATGTTGTATTTACTTTTAGTTATCTTCAGATGCAACAAAACCTCTTGATCAACATGATTTCCATCCCACAGTACATGGAGTAAGTATAGAATGTAAAGCGGATTAAAATTTATGATGTGATTTTGATCTGTGTGACTGATATATACGTATATATATGCAAATGTTTTTTAGGCTATTATTGCTAGCGATGGCAAACTTACTCCTAATTTTGAGTACATTACAGAACTCAGGACCACATCAACGTATGTTGCTTTTTCCTTGTTATTTTTTTATTTAATTTTTCAGGTGTATTCTGAAAATTTTTATGAATACTTTTTGCAGGATTTAAATGTTATTATTAAAATTCTAACTAATATATATATATATATATTATTTTGTTAAACAGGTTTTAAATTTTTTGATAATGTGCTGAATGTTAAGAAAACTAAAGCAAATAAAAAAAAGTATTATTTTTAAGAATGACAAATTATACATTTTATAAGTAATTTTAAATTTTGTTCATAATTCAGTTCTAAATCTCAAATTTCTATTTAACTTATCAGCATTCAGTTGGATCTTAAAATCTTTTGTTTGGGAATTCTTGTATCATTTATAAAAGCTAAACATTGTTATGTATCTAAATTAAGTTTAGACTGATACCAATTTGGTTTGAATTAATATAATCAAAAAAGTCCCTGTGGTAAAAACTAGAGATATATAAACTTGCACAATTTCCTTGAATCTGCAAGTTATCTGTTAATTCTTTTATATGTGTGCTATAGGTCAAAGATAAGAAATATGCAAATCAAGAGGAAAAGTAAACTAAATTAAAGATAAGCAAGTAATTCAAGGCTACACAAATTAATATAACTTAGCAGGTTGACTCAGAAACCTACACGGGCATCATGCTGGTGAATGCAAATAAAAAACAATTAAAGCAAACAAATAAAATACAAAATACAAATTAAAAAATTTGAATACAAATAAAAAAATTTGTGTATAATATATAAACTCTTTTTCCATTATCAGAATGATAGGTTGATTAAAGCAATAACTAATTCTTTTTTGTTAATACACTGGTTATCATAAATTAAGGAAAAATCACAGAAATCATGATTACTGAAAAAGTTACATGTAGAATTTTATGAAATTTACTTACAAATACAACACATAGTAAGGTATCAAACAACATAAAAAGAAATTACCAGACAATTATGGTAGTATAGAAATTAGCACATGTATAAAAATGAACAAATCGAAGATGTCAGTTTGCTGTAGTAAAAGTACCTTCAATCTGGAATATAATTGCCTCTAGAAGCAATTCAGCACATTCAGCGATGTGTGATGCTTTCAATTATGCGGTCTATCAGTTCCATAGGAAGCGAAAGCCATTGCTCTTGCAAAGCAGTAGCAAGCACGGCAAGGGTCTAAGAGGGCGGATTGAGAGCAGCTAGACGTCTCCCTAAAGCATCCCACACGTGCTAGATAGGATTCAAGTCCAGGGATCGAGCTGGCCACTCCATGCGCATAATTGTTTCCTGTTGAAGATAATCATATACGATGCAAGCCCTGTGTGGTCTTGCATTGTCGTCCTGAAACAGGAAAGCATAACCTATTGCTCCGGCATATCGGTGTTGCCACATAAGCATCAAGGATGTCATCTCTATAAACATGAACATTCACGGTTGCCCTTGAAAAAACATGTAGGTCTGTGCGTGCACCCAAAGAAATGCCACCCCAAACACAGACGACACTGCCGTTTTCATAAGCATCTCTTTCACGGATGTTTGACAGATAATGGGTTCCAGGTCAAATAACGCCTACTATCGCGTTCTAGACTAAACCTGGGCTCATTCGTAAAGAGAATAGCCCTCCATTCCTCAGGCGTCCAGTGGACATGTTGTCGTGTCCACTGCAAATGGTCCCTCCTATGGCGTGACTTGAGCAGCACGCAAATGGTTGTTCGCCTCGCATACAGACCACCTTTGTGAAGCCTTCTACCCACAGTTGACGTTGACACCAACCTTCGGGTGGCTGGAGCAAGGGAGGATCTAAGAAGAGTCGGTGTAGCGGTTCTATTCCTGAGTGCACATAATGTCAAATATCGGTCATCGGCACTCGTCGTAGCATTTCGCTGTCCTTGGCTGAACCTCCTAGGTGCCGAATCTGTGATTTGAAATTGCCTCCAATGTCTATGAACCACAGAAGGACTCGCATTTAGCCATCTGGCCACTTCTGTTTGACTTTGTCCTGCCTCTAGTCTCCCAATGGCTTTCTGTCATAGTTTTGCAGGCAAATGATGCCTGGAGATAATTGTTACGAATTGGCTATCTCAGATTTCTGATGTCACTATCACAGTGAAATATGTGGGCTTGCTCTCAAACATGGAGTTTTATGCTCCTCACAGATGGCGTATTCCGAGTGCAGCGCCACTAATTTGCATATCGGAGTTTTACTCAGCTACTCTTACTTGGTAACATATTCAAATTTTACACGGTTTGGCTTATTTTTGAGGGAGTTATTGCTATTTTTGCGATTTTTCCTTAATTTATGATATCCAGTGTATGTATTAAGATATATACAAATTTATGCATTAAAAATAATTTAATAAACAAGCAAGTATTACTTGTTAATGTAACATTTTAAATATTTTTATTAGTTTCTGTGAGTTTTAGCTATTTTTTGCCACCAGTAAATTGGCATTGCTGTTGAATATACAAAATAAATATTTTATCATTTGGTGAACATATATACCATAAAACCCTGAAGTTACATGATAGGTAGGATTGATGAAAAACACATTAATTAGTCCTTTTTTTTAATTAAATAAAATTAGTAAATAAGATCAAATTCTGAAAAGTACTTATTTAGAAGAAAAGTGTGTAATAAAGTATTCAGTTTTTATACATATCAATACACAACACTATTAAAATAGATGTACTACAAAAAATAGAGTTATTTTGATGCTGGCTACATAAAATTTAACAAATTCATGATTATAAAGTGGGGAGGGAGGATAAAGAATATCAAACTCTTAATTCTTTTTTTCTGTATTGAAGAATAGAATAATGACTGCTCTATAGAATAACTTCACTGCCTGTGAACCTGGTTATAATTTAACTGCAGTTTTTGAAGAGGGATGTGGAGTTTTGGAATATTTAGCATAAATTATTATATTGTGATGCATATTATTTTTTAAAGCTAGTTCTGATGTATAGGCAAAGTAAAGTTTTTAATCAGCATTTTATTAATCTTTAAATGCAAATTAATTAAACACTTAAATATATAAAATAAAATAAGGAATCACGTAACTTTGAGTTCACATTAGCCAGGGTATTACAGATTATCTTTTAAGGAATGGAACTAGAATCCATAAGCACTAATCCGTAACTTTTTCTGAGGCTGTTGCAAATTTGTTTTCCTTTGGGAAGTACTTTCTTCCTCAGTAAATTTGTTATCATTGCATTTATACACTTGCTTTTAGCAGTTCCTGTTAGCAAGACCACTGTTATCGAATTTTTCATAATGTGAATTTAGTAATTCCTGCATATATACTCAATTTACTTCATCAAAAGTGTTCAGTGTTGACAGTTTTATTGACATTTGAGATTAATGATTGGTTAAACAAGAATATCAGCCAAATAAAATATTCAGATGAGTTACTTTGATAAAAAATAGTCTGGCATTGCTTTAACCATGTTAACTGAAAACATTTTATTAATAATAACATTATTAATAAACCACATTAACGGGAAAAGTATGTTAAAAGAAACAGTGTTAGATGAGGAATGAATGATTAAATTACATTAAGAATAAAAAATAATATGAAAATAATTATTTATTATTCATTTTTATTTCATTATTATTACTTGTATATTCATTTTTTTCTTTATGTGATTTCAATGCAAGTTATTTCTAAAAGTAGAATATTACATTTATAAAAAATTTAGGCAAGTTCCATTCTGCTAAAGACTTGTAGTAAACTAATAATTTTTATGTAAATTATAATTAATCCTAACATTAGTCTGTTTTATTCTTAATTTTGATAATATTTTAGCTAGTGATAACTGCTCTTATGTCAAATATGTTTCTTAACTCATCACAATGTATTGCTCATGTCTAGCTGGGAAAACATGAAAATCTTGCATGATCATGCTTAGTATTATAATGCATTACTTTATACTTATATTATGTTTATTATATATTGAACTTATATTTTGTTTTCTTATGTATATTTATTGCACTTTTATTAGTTTATTTATGATATGTAATAACAGATAAATATTGTACAGTATGTATGCTCTGCTTACATAACAAAGTTGTTCAGGGAGTTGCAAAACATTTTTTTTTTTTTTTTTTTAATTACAAAAGGTAAGTGCAGGGTTAGGAACTCGGAGAAACCACAGTTTTCACTTTTGCAAACTGTAATACCAGTTACTGATCTGAAATTAGCAATAGAATCCTATTGAAATGGAAGCAATGTTATTTAGTTAGATAAATTTTTATTATTAATTGTGCCTTTTTTTAATAAAATTTCTGTTAATTTTGTTTTGAAAGCATTCGGAATGAAACTAGATTTTTGATCTCCTAACTAAACATTGAGAAAAGTTCATATTTGTAATTTATCACATTCATTGTTCCCAAGGATCATGAAGTCATTTTGCATCTAGCTAGTTTTAAGATTCAGCTGAAAAAGAAAATATTCACTGTATATGTCTGATGTTTAACTGCTTTGTATAACATTCATGGTTCTTGTTTTATTGATATGTTTGCAGGGTAACTGATTATAATGTGTTCATCTTTTGTTTAAATGATTGGGAAGCAGATTTGCTGGCACTAAAAGTTGTTTTCTCTTACAGCAGTCTTTTGTTTTAAATTTTTAACTGTATTTTGTTTGTTAATATGTTTTATTATACCAGTTAATATTATCAATAAACATATCTTTTTTCTTCCATGCTTTGCTTTTTTGCACTGAAGAAGGTAATTGTGGTCGTCTGGTTGGTATATGTAAGAAGTCTTGCTCTTTCTTCATGATTAACATACCTCTTTTTTTTTTTTTTTTTTTTCTGCATGATTTGCATCTTGCTTTCTCTTGATTATTTCCAACTTGCTTTCTTTGAGTGATAACAGCATCCTGCTCTGTCTGCATATATTCTGCTCTTATTCTCATATTTTCTTGTATCATAGCTGCCAACTATCCTGTAAAACTATCAGATTCCTATTTTTGTGCCATTCTTCACAGAAAACCAATATAAATCCTAGTTTTTGATCCACCTAAATTTACATTATCTGCATCAAAAACAAATATTGGGGTGGGGGGTGGATTGTTCATCATTAAGTATCAAAGGAAAATAAAACGTTAATAAATTTTGATATCAAAATAATTAAGACAATCAATCACATTTTCATGTTTTAAAGAAATTTAAAATTTTCAAATTCTGTTCCTTTGCGTAACAATTTTCAACATAATTTTAATTATTTCATCTGAATTACATCAATCCATTACAAAAATTCTGTACGGCATTTTATAAAGATTTACCTAACATTTAATAGATTAAAAATATGTTGTTTATATGATAAAGTACCATTAAAAATCTGTGAATGGTATATTACTAAGTTTATCTTGGTGATTAAAAATCACATTAGTTATTTTTATTTTCAAAGTGTTTAAAAGTGATTTAATAAATATTCTTTCTCACTCCATGTTTCATTACTATGCAATTTTGAAATTACAAAACAGAATGAAATTATTAAAAAAGTGTAATATTAAGAAAACTAAAATTTAGAACGAGAAAAATAAATGCTAAGTTAATATATTTAATCAAAATAAATTTATTGTTTAATAATGAGAATCATGCAGTCATTATATAAACAGATTCAAATTTGTGTGTGTGAAGTTTTTTTGAAATTGCATCACACAGTGCAAAATCTTGTTCTTTATGTTTCAAGGTTGGCAGCTATGATATATTTATGGATATACTGTAAATTAATAGGCATTTTTATAATTGACCTACTCTTAGCATTTTAAGTATGAACATTTTAAAGATTTTTTGAAAAAGCATAATAGCTTGTTTTATTGCTCCATTTATTTTAAGGAAATAACTGTTTTAAGCTGTTATTTATAGTTTTACAAGTGAATTATAATAATTTTTAATGGATAACTTGAATTCTTGGCCACAAAGAAAATTTCTGCTGAAGTTTTAGAGTATTTCCATTTTTGATTCACAGTTTTATATCATTTATATTTGTAAATCTAATTTATTACTTTTATTATAATGAGTTGTAACAGTCATTCATGTCACCCATCTATTGAATTGCATATTTAATCCATGATGTTTAAGTTATGAAAATGGTAAACACGACAGCCTAATTAATTTAATAAAAAATTTATTTATTTGAGTTGTTCATAAGAAATTGCTTATATAGTTTATTCATATATTTATTTATATGTACATATAAATAGCAGCTAGTAATATTTTTTTAAAACTTTGCATATCTGCATGCTTTATAGGTAATTATGTAGCTAATATTTTCATTTGGGCTTTTTAAAAGTATAATTACAAAATCTGGAGCTTTTTTTTAATAATGCATCTTTTATGGGTGAGTTTTTTTAATAAAATAAATAGCTGAATAAACTGGAATGATAAATTTCTTAATTTGTGATTACTGTTTTGATATCAGATTGAACATATTTGATAATTTTTATGCCTTATTATTTTATATATTATGCAGGACATCCAAAAAAGAAATGATGGGGAAAAAATTGACATATATCCAAAATTAACTTGTTTTTAGCATTGTATTTGCATTTCATTTGTAGCTCTGGCTATGTTTAGGCAATATTCCATCTCATTTCATGCATCCGAAAGCATTATTGGTGAGCTCTAGCCCTGTCATTTCTGCAGTTTGAGTGTGCAAAATTAAAGAGATAAAGTCCATTCTGTGTCAGTCTTTCTGCCAAACAAAACTTTTTGGTATCTTCTTTTCAGCTACGTAAACCACAGTGCAACAAACATTGATTTTGAATATATGTGTCATTCTTTCCACAACTTCTTTCATGGACATCTTTTATATATATAAAGTAATTAGATTTTGAACTGTATTTCATACTTTTAAAGAAATGTTTTATTGTTAGATCACAGAAAAAAGCTCGATCTCTGGCTGAAAAAGCTGCCAAAAAAGTTCTTGTCCTTGGAGCTGGATATGTAGCCGGACCTTTGGTAGATTATCTCACTCGAGATCAAACCATACATGTTACAATAGGTTTGTTTTAATTTTAGATTTAATTAATATTAGTTCTGATTAATTTTTTAAATGTTAAAACTGCCTTAACTGTGTAAAAGTTCTGTTGATTGCTATGATACCTATTAAAAAACTGCATGAGATATAAAAAATGTCCCATCAAGACTGCCCATACTCTGAACAGCCAGATTCCTTGCTTGGAACACATAAAAAGTGCCCAAAAGAACTGTGCTATATGACCCATAGTTTTAAAGATAAATGCTAAAGAAAAGTATGATGTTGTATCCAGTGTAAGGGGGAAAAACTTTACTGGATATTTGCACATCAGTATTTGCATTATGTTAACATAGGAAGATGTTCAAAATGGCCACTGTATGTATCAAAGCAATCATGTGCACTCTGGAATGACATCAAGCTGTCATTTGTATTGTATTCCAAAGGCTGTATCTTGTAATTACTGGTAGTCTTTGCATGATGATAATGCATTCCTTTTGTGAATATTGGACGTGTACTTTGCGTTTGGTCAGTGTAATGGTAATGCCTTACAAACTGCTGGGAGTATGCCATCGCTATCCATCCTCCAGATGTCAGGTTCTACTATTCTCCCAGTGCCAGGTTAGACAATGTACTGAGAAATGCTGGAAGCATATACTTGATGCACAGTCTCCATGATGTTGGTGCATGCATTGCCTTTTCTGAATGGCTATTGCAACAACAATGTAGCTGATAATGCTTTCACTGCACATATCTTGTGGATGGATGAATATTTCACACATGATTACTTCACACTTGAAGTAACAATGATACATTTTTCATAGTTGCTTAGTTTCATCATTCTGAAACATACTTTTCAGATTTTTTAGAGATTTAATTGTGATCAAAAACATATTATATTAATTTTTTGTAAATATCCTTTTATAGAATTTTAAAGGATATTTTTCTAAATATCCTTTTTTATTATTTTATGTAATCCTGTGCACTAGCATATGGTGAAATATGGATCTTTTAAATTTTAAGCAATTTTAAAAGCATGTGCTATTTTCTATCCAATAAACATTATTTTTTTTTTTTTTGTAATTCATTGTTAATTGGTTATCATTTTAATATGCTAATGTGTTTAAATGCTTTTGCTTGTTTGCTATTTTGTGCAAAATTAGCAAGAAGTATTTTAGTTTTGTTAGCGGTATATTGTGAATTGTTTTGAGCTCTAAAATTAACTTTCAATTAAAAATTATGCTTAGAAAATGCAAGTAAATATATTAAGTTCTTTGAACTTTTATGGGTATTTTACAGGCTCAATTCTTCAAAATCAAGGAGAAGCACTGGTGAAATCAGCTAATGCAGAGCATGTTGTTTTAGATGTCACTAAAGGAAAAGGTCCTTTAGAGAAATTAATTGAGGAGTCGACTCTTGTGGTGAGGTAAGAATACTCTGAATGGTTTTTGGCTGTTGTATTAGAACATATTATTTTTGCATTATTGCTATCAACTCTTACATCACCGCAAAGTGCTGCCTTTAAATATGAAATTTAAAAGCAATTTATGTTTTTAAAAAATTCAGTTTGTTGCAATTTTTATACCCTTCTGATGTGTTATTCTTTTCCCCTCTCTGTCTTTATTCTGTGTTATGTTCCCCCCCTCACTTTTGGCCAAATCCATGACAATTATTAATCAGAGATCTGTGGCCAGCTTGATAACAGTATGATCTTTTACTGTGTACTGTCCTATATAGGTCAAGAATGGGATAACTTCAAGGATTTTATTTATTTTTTGCCTATCATAACTGTACAAGGGTCATAAGGCTGACAGACGTTTTTGTCCCAAGTGTTGCACAGACGTAATGAATACGAGCATTTAAACCTGATTTTAAATTTGAATTTTCTATCATGAACATAAGAACCACTTCTTCTAATTGATTAGGAATTCATATTCATTCTTGCTTTCCTTTCTTGCTCATTCTTATTGTAGCCTGAAGCTATTCCAAAGTTTGATAGAAAATATTCTGAGAAATGAATCTAAGGCTCCCATCGTATACCATCAACCTCGCAGAGCAACTTTTATCTTGATGGTATTGTAAGCATTTCCATGTTGCAAAGACTAGATATTTACAAACATCTGTGCCTTCCCTGCAATTCAAACCCAATCCTCTAGTGAACAGCTGAGCGGAACAGAGTGACAGGTTAAATAAATTAAAACCTTTTGCTGTGTTATCTTAGGTTGGCTGAATTATTTTTGTGTATATTCACAACTTTAACATCTTTAAATCATATGTCATATTACATATGAAATTGCTAATGGTTTGATCCAAATTTGTAAATAATAACGTTTGATTCAGCAATAATATTTTGAATAACTTTACGAGCGAGATTTGTATCTAAATATTTATATATTCTGAGCAAAAAGCAATTTTAAAATGAATCGTACAATATTTAGTCCTTCAGCTTCATATAAACTAATGGCATTAAATATTAAATTTTTGCTTATTTCTGAAATAATGCTTCATAAATAAATGATAAACGTGATAGTGTGGAAGAAATCGAATTTAGAAAAATAGTCTCGCTTTTGTGTTCTTGATGAATACATGGATTTCTTTTCACTTTTGGAAAAGTTAAAAAAATATTAGTTAGATAGTGCTTGTATTAAAAACATAAAATATTTTTAAATTAGGTACATCATTAACTCTGAAGGATCTAGATGTGAAGGATGGGAAAAAATATATTGCAATTTTTTTATAGTTTTAGTAGTATGTAACAAGAAGTCTTTAACAAGAAGCTGAATGTATGTATGTCTGTAACAAGAAGCTGAATTTCGGTTACTGAATAAAATCAGCATTTGTTTTGTCGTAAATAGAAAGATTCAGCACATTTTTAGAAATAATTTGTTCACTCTTTTGATTGTTTTTGAATGAGATTTATTTTTTGTACTGAGTGTGTTGACACTTTTCACTAGATAATAATGTCACTAGTCAATTTTTAAGTAATTCGGGTTTTACCAGTTATTAAAATTAGCATGCTTATTTGTAGATGTTGTATGAATATTGTCTTCACAAGTTATAGCCATTCTTATAATCTTGCATTTGCATCTATCCAAAGAAATTCTGTTTTAATAAATTTGGAATATTATGATGTCAGAGAATCAAACTCTTAAAAAAATATTCTCAAATTGCTATATTTTCTCTTTAATTTTTAAGAGCACTAGATTTTTAATGCTAAAATGCATTTAATTTTTTTAAACTTAATCATTGCAAGTACATGATTACAAAAATATGAATTAGTTTTATATGCTCATTTTAAATATTCTGATGCATGTAATAAGCTTTAACTCTTCTATCCTAAATTCTTTGTATGTATTCATGATATCATAATATCCCAGTTTTTATCATGAAAAACATCACTGTGAGACGCACTGTTGTATTAGGAATAATTTTAATCCTTCAAGCAGACTTTGCATATGAAAAATTTGACCTGTTATTAACTTCTGTTCCTTTGTATCTGAATCTTTTTATATATTAACTGCTATGGGGCTAACCAGCGACCGAGTGGTAAAGTCGCTGAACACTGGTAGTTCGGTCCGAGGTTCAAATCCTGCGAACGGGCTGGCTGAATGGGCGTTTTTGAGGTTTTCCCCATGTGTAACATGTATATAAGCCAGTTCCCCCTTAGTAAGTCCTCCATGAAGGCATCCCTCCCTTTAGGTAGATAGCCCTCGAGGCTTTGCCATTTAAAAGTATTAAAATACACACACTATTAACTGGTATGTCCTATACTAGTTATGTCTAAATAGTTGAGTCGTACTTATAACTGTTAGATCTATTATATTTCCATATGTTGTATAAATGTATATCTTGGAACATAAAACTGGGATGAGAGAAAAGAATTAAAAATTATTTTTAATCTTCATTTTCACATAATTTGATAACCATATGTCATTTTTCAGAAGTATGCTATGTAAGCAGCTGTTTAATATGCTGGCTATGAATATTAAAAATAATGCATATTAGTGTGTTTAATATTTGTTCTTTCCTCTAGCCCAATTCAAATTATCTTGGTTCTTTAATTCAAATTATCTTAGTATCTTAGTAATTTCTCATAATCTTTATATACGTTTAATGTAAAATAAAGGGGCATAAAAATATGTGTGATAATAACTAATGTAGATAAAAGTAATCAAAATTCAACCCTGCTATTTTATTTTGAGTATATCTTTTCTAAATTTCTTTTGAAGAAATTTACATTTTCATTATTTTTTATGTATACTTAGTAAGGTAATATTTTTACATACTGAAATTCTTCCATGTTAAAAAGTGTATTATGAAACTCTTCCTGAGATACACACACACGGAAATATATATATAAATATAATCATCTGATAGTCTTTGTCGTTATTTTTTATTAAATATATTGATGATTTATGCAGCTTTATATGACAGTGGCATTATTTACAATTTCAGTAGCCTTCTTATAGAATTTTTTTTTAACCGAAATACATGAACTTTAGAAGTATGCTTAACATTCTAAATTTAGAGAATGGAAAGCAGTACAGTCAAAAGTCGTTAATTCGGACACCCATAATTCGGAATGATCTATAATCCGGACCTCAAAACTAAAAACTTTCTGCGCATGCGCCGCGTTGACACATGCGCATAGGCATTTACGCATGCACGTAAGACCTTTTACGACTGCGCATATGAGTGTGCGCAAGTGCAGAATACGTTTTCGCGTGCGCGTTTTATGTATAATGGACGTATAAGCTAAAATTATCTAATTATCTATTTCAGTTAATGTTGATGATTGCGTTGTTCCTTAATTTTCGAATTGGATCCAGCTTATTATTTTTTGAAGACTGTAAGAGCAATTTTATAAAAGTAAACTTAAACTTTTGATTGTATCAAGTAGAATTTCCGATATGTATTTGTTAATATGTAAAGGATCTAAAGCGAAAGTATGTTTTGAAATCCGAAATCTGTTTATCAATTTCACGCTGCTCGGCGGGGGGGGGGGAACGCTGCGGCGGGCACGTAATGAATTGGAAGTTGATCTGTCAGCACTATCCTTATCTTCGGCGCAGATGTTTTTATTTTATTTGGCTTATAATTCCTTACCAAATGTAGTATTTCATCTTGATATGCTCCGTCTTTGATATGATTTAAAACAAGTTCCTCGTCATTATAATTCGCTTCCGATAGGGAAGAAAGTGACAGAGGTTATTGAAAACGAAAAAATTTCGATTGACAAATTAGTCGGTGTTCTCGACACAGCATTATAGGACTTGAACAGCGGAACTTTGTAACTGAAACAGAAATTATGTCTGTTTAATAGAATTAAAGAGAAAGTATTATCACATGAAACGAAGCAAAACTTAAACAACTTACATTGAAAGAAATGTTTAAAAAGTAAACAACTAAATATTAAGCTTTTTTTTTCTTTTTGCAAAATTTGATACCCTTTAGATCATAATTGTTCTTTATTTCATAAATTACGGTTTCATATTTTTAATTTTAGAATTTCTGCATGCCATCTTACGAGATTTAAACTGATGATCTATAATCCGGAAAAATCAATAATCCGGAATCGCCGAAGTCCCGACAAGTCCGGATTAACGACTTTTGACTGTAGTTAAAAAAAAAAAAAAAAAAAAAAAAAAATATGCTTTTGTTGCAAATGCACTGTAATTATGAAAGCAAGCATCTCTTTTCCTTTAATGAAATATTTTAAATACACCTTTATTTGATTTTATTATAATTTAACTTTTGAATTTTTTAGTATAAAAGCTATTTTCTTAAATTTTAAAAAATACTTTTATCTAAAACTGTCTTTGAAATGTATTTTTCTTCTACGTAAAGCCTTTTGCCTTACACACTGCATCCCACAATTGCTGAACATTGTATCAAGTACAAAATAAATATGGTCACTGCCAGTTATTTGACTCCAGAAATGAGAAAACTTCATGACGCGTAAGTATTCGTTCTTTTTAAAGTCGTGTCTTTTATATTTGCAAATTTATACTAACTAAACATGGTATAATTTTGCAGAGCTGTTGATGCTGGCATTACAGTTGTAAATGAAGTTGGTTTGGATCCAGGAATTGATCATCTCCTTGCCATGGAATGCTTTGATGAAATCAAGTTAAATGGTGGAAGGGTAATGCTTCTTAAATTTAATAATTATATTAGAGAAACATTCTTTTTAGTGGCTGAACAAGGATTTTACATTATTGTACGTTATGTTCCGAAAAGAGCAAGTTCTGTTCTCTTATGGTTCCATATCACAGTATATGTAATGGGATGTAGTATATTGAAGATGTATTTGTAGTTGTTTTATTTATATATATATATATTTGCAAATACAAGTTTTACATTCATATTAAATTTTAGGGTAATAAATGTATTATTAAAGCATTATTTATAAATCTGAAACTGGACACATAATTTATATGTACTGCTTTCCTAAAGTTTAGATGCAATATTCAATTTGATTAAAAGGAGAAGTTCAGTTATATATTTACGACTCAAATAATATAGTAGGCAAAATATATTTAGATATATATATATATATATGTACACTGTGGGAAAAAAATGCAACAGTTCTACATTTTCCGTTTTACTGGCCGATTGACAAAATTCAAATTGTGTTTTTCATGTCTTGAAAGCATGACTTGGGATATATATTAGATTTATATATAGCATTTTTCTAACATAGGTATTTTGACACAAAATCGGACTTTTTTTCTGAAATAACATACCATTTTTTTCCTATATTTCGATTCTATGATTCAAATTATGCCTAGATATTAAATTTTGTAAAATTTTGGTTCCAGAATTTACAAAAATTTATATTGGTGCAATTCTTTCAGTTCGTGCTAAGAATAATTCATTTGGCAACCTTCTTAATAATGTGGCAACCAATTTTCCTTTCAATTCCATCCTTCCTACCTTTTTACATTGTGCTTGAACGGGGGGGGGGGGGGGGAAGTCACATCGTTTCTACTTCCAAGATAATTTAAAGCAAAGTGTCTAAACCAGATTTGATGTTTTATGACTTTCAACAAATATGCCAAATTTCAAAACGCACCAATATATAAATTCACATATATCTTCGGAAATTTTAAATAAAAACTATAATTTTTTGCGGATATATTTAGAAATACGTCTACTTTAAGATGATGGTAAAAAATTTATAGATTAAATTTAAAAATTTTTATAAATTTATAAATTTATTAAAAATAAATCATAAAAAAATGTGAATTTTATTTGGAATGAACCTAAATTTCGAAATAAATACGAAAGGAGAATCAATAATTTTAATAAAAAGAAGATTAATAAATATATACCCAACTCGATTACTTGATGAGCTAAACTATGAGAGCTATTTTTTAAAACTACTTCGTACGAATTTACAAACTGTTAGTTTTGGCATAATTGATCGTAGAATTGAAATATGGAAAAAAAGTTGGTATGTTATTTCAGAAAAGGTCCGATTTTGTGTCAAAATACCTATATTAGAACAATGCTATATATAAATTTAATACATATCCTAAAGTCGCGTTTTCGACACATGAAAAACGCAATTTGAATCTCGTCAATCGGCCCAGTAGAATGAGAGATATAGAACCATCCCCCCTTTTTTTGTGCAGTGTACATCATATTTTGTGTACTAAAAAATATCTCTAAACTTCCATATCTTCCTAAAGTGCACCAGAGGAAAATAATTGCTGTTCCTCTAATATGGGAGTTTCCATTTCTTTTTAGAGTGCAGTCAAATTCCAGTTTACTGTGAGAATGAGCCTCATGTTTTAATTATTAAGCCTGATTATTTCATTGCTGTCTCATGTTTAGCCCCTTTGAAGATTATGGTCTAGCAAGTTTTTCAACATTCAGTAAGAGAATCAGGGAGCCAAGAGCAGCATTTTGCCAATTCTTGGTCTCTTTGCTCATTGAAAAATATGCACCTCGTTTCCTGTTCTTGTGTAAAGATTTTTAAGTAGCCAAGATGGTGAAAAGAAATTTTTTTTTAATAGTTACTAAGAGAAAAGGGGTTCTAGAAGGTGACTGTTGAAAACTTCAGGTTAAGTTTACTCAATGACAAGGAATTAGTTTGTTCAAACTATGTTTACCATTTCCCATGTGTAACATATTTTTGAAGAATATTCAAAATATCTGCATTGCCTGAAATATGGGGCTGAATTATAGTGCAGTGTCTTCTGAGGAAATGTTCCTCTACAAATTTTAGACAGATGTGTAGTGAAGTGTTTCTCTGTATGGGATTGCTTTGTGGGTAGCAAACGGAACTTTGTACAACTTTAATTCCGAACTTTTTTATGCATTTCAGTATAAGCACACTCATAAAAGATGTGGCATGGTTGGTCTGCAGCTCTTTTTGAAATCGTATTTGTCTAAAAATTTGAAGGAAAACATCAACAATTGTAGTTTAAAAAAGCTTTGCAATGGAAACTGCATCTGGATAGTTAGAAGACATTCAGATGGTAGTTATAAGATTCTTATTTCCAGAAGTTGTCATGGGCAAGCCCACAAGCATTGCATAATATTTCTGTGATAATAGAAACAATTTTCAAAGGTGTTTTCTTTTCATCTTGAAGCTTTCCAAATCTTTGACATTTCTCTCAAATTTTAACAAATTTCTCGAAATCTTTGTAACAGGCTGATAAAAAGTTTTGAACAAAGCATCCTTGGTCTTTGTTGCATAAAGATGGGCTGCTGTTTTTTCATGACAAATAGTCATCAACTGTTTCCGATATTTATTAGGAACAACAATTAATAGTCTTAGGATTCCGTCATCTTTTGAGAGCTTTTCACCTTTCAACATATACCTTGTACCTTTACAAGACTTTCTTTTAGCTTCTTCATATAGTGGCTTCAATTCAACACTCCCTTTTGTTCTGTATAAATATTTCTGGAGAGGCTTTTATCAGACCTAATTCAGAACTTCCATATTCCACAGGAGGCAAAATTTCATTTTCGGAAAGTGTGTCTTTGTCCCTAAGTTGAATTTCCAAATTTAACTGATCTAGATTAACTAGATTTTCCAATTCTAGAAATAGTTTTCATCACGAGTTTGAATGGCATTTATCATATGAATTTGAACTTCTTCACTTTGTTTTGCTTCTTCAAATAATCCAGCTGTTCTGTTACCTAAAAGGTACTTGCCCTAATCTAATGCATCTCTTAAGCCTTTGTTGTTATATGACCAAATTCACATTCAAGCTGTATCTCAGCCAAAGATAAGTACGCTGGATATTCTTCCAGAGGTGTCTGTATCCACACAGTTTACTTGTGTACATGGAAGGCTTTACGTACCTTTTTTTCGGGGGGGGGGAGATCAAGTCCAAAATTGCACTAGTACCTTTAAGTATGGGCATTTTATAGCCATTTACTTTACCTAGGCTGGTGTATGGAGTCATAATATCCTTAAAACTGTGTTTGAAAATTCTATTTGGGGCTACAGTTTCCAAATCCATCTTGAGTTATCACACTGGGGTTGGAGACAGCCTCGTTCATAACAATTAGGTTGTCTTGTTTTGCATAAATTTTATTGCTGAATTCTGTCTTAATTATAAAGTTCTAAAATCTTTCAAGATTTCTTTAGGATTGTATTTACATTGATTGCTGCCTTGCATTTTGATAACCCTGTTGTGGTTTGTAGGATTTTTCTTTCTTAAAGCTTTGTGTAATATTCTCATACTAGTCTAATTTTTCTGCTAGGTCATGTGGATTTTATTCAGGTATCAAGAAAATGCTGTGTCACTTCTACTGGAACACAGTATTTAATTTGCTTAGTAACTATTAAGTATTTCAATTTCTCAAATTATTTAATTTCTAAATCCTCAATCCACTCTGAATAATAACTATAAAGTTCACAAGCATAATTGCTGCAAGAGTTTTGAGGAGTTTTTTGATGTCAATAAAAGCTCTCTTTCAACTTTTTATTATTAATATCTTTTTAAGATTAAATTTTTCACATAATCATACTTGGTTGCAACTTCAGACAGTCCTTTGGCTGACATGTTGGAGATTTTGGCAGGTAAGGCATCCAAAAGGTAAGCTAAGTCGGTACCGAGCCATTTCAGCGTTCTTTCATCAAAATTTTCTCAAACAGTTTCTATGTTCATTCATCCTTTTTTTTTTTCTCAAACTTGGCAGCAGTTTGGGTCAACTGGATTTTATTATTCGATTCTGCTTTATTTGTTTGTGATTCTCTAGCTCGTACTTCTTAATTTTGCACTCACCAAAAAGTTGACTTCCTGATTATTTTTTTGAATTTCTGGGACGTTACTTGTGAGTGGCATATCCTCACAAAATTCTTCATCTACATCTATTAAATTCTACCCCTGGCAGGAAAAGATATTGTTGAAACAGAAAATTCTTGGACAGCATATCAAAATTAATTTTGAAAGGGTTTAGACCAATATTCAAAAATTCAAACTGGTTAGTGCCATCTAGCAATTTTCTTTTCGTGTGTGTGATCAGGAATTCAAATATGACACAGAGTACTTTATTTCAAAGAAAATACTGAGTATAATAAATATATGTGCTTTCCATTCAAGAAAAATCTGCAAAGATTGCTTTGCAGATTAGAAAAGGCATACTAGAGAAAGAAATAAATAAATAATAAATTAAATAAATAAATAAAAAAAATCTTGTGCTTGATTCACAAAGTGAAATTCTTGATTTGGGGCTAAGACAAGAGCTCATATTTATTCATAGAGAAAAATTCTTTTTGATTTGGAACTCTTAATACAAGTGAAAATTTTAAAATGAATATGTTCTAATACTACATAATAACTTCTCCCCTCTAATACAAAAGCTGAAATCTACAACAAAAATCTTTTGAATTTATGACTGTAATACAAGAGCTTAAATTTTAGGATGGAAATATTCCAATATTATGCAACCGTTTGCCGCTCGAATACCATAGCTTGAATTTATATATATATATATATATATATATGTAAAGAAAAAAACTTTAATGTTACTAATTAATTTGACGCTTTAATGCAAAAGCAAAAATTTAGAATAGTTGAATATAATTATGAGTTGAAACATTTTCATGAAAAATGGCACCATATTCATAAAAAGTCTGGTATGCACATTCCTGTATTCTGTTGGCTTTTAAATAAGACTGGT